AAAATATAAAATCGGATCGGCTCGCCCAGCTGCTCCCTGCTTTTGGGGGGAGATGGGGTTGGAATCCAGGAATCCAGGAATTTGGACTTCCTCCCCCTGCCCCCTTTCTGCACCTCCTTTAAAATCCTGGCAGCAACCCAGTAAGGAAAAACTTTGGACTCTCAGGCCCTCCCCACGGTCAAAGAAGAGGACCCAGGAGTCCTGGACAGCAAGAACCTCCCTTTGGCCTGAGGCTGCTGCCCCCGTGGGAACATGCCCAAGGCAAATCTCCTGCACCAGGGTGTCTGTGCAGGAGCACTTTCCAAAGAGTGAGAAGGGGGCCAACGCAGCTGAGCCCCATGGAAGCTGGCGGGGCAGGAGGGGAGGCCTCAGCGTCGCAGCTTCTGCAGTAAAAACAGAGGGGCCTGTGGATTTTATTGCGGCGTCCGCATTAGGGGATCGTTGGAGAGGACGGCACTGGGGGCCCCACCTCAATTAATATGCTTGCCTTTCAGTTGCCACAAGGGAGGGACCCCCAGAGGCCATCTAGTCCAACCCCCCCCCCCCCGCAATGCAGGAATCCAGCCGGCACCCCCACCCCACCAGGGGCGGAGGAGAGAACATGCCTCCCTCAAGCCAGCCCCACAGTGGTGCACCTCCCAGAGCACAGGCACGCTTCAGGGTCACTTGGTCCAGAGTTCGAAATTCGCCAGGCATGTTTTGCAACTGCCCTGGGTCCAATTGCAACCCAATGGAGATCTCTGGGTGCCAAGTTGGCACATGGCTCACCCCCTCCTCCGTTTATTATTATTAATTATTATTATTATTATTATTACAGTGGTACCTCGGGTTACATACGCTTCAGGTTACAGACTCTGCTAACCCAAAAATAGTACCTCGGGTTAAGAACTTTGCTTCAGGATGAGAACAGAAATTGTGCTCTGGCGGCGCAGCAGCAGCAGGAGGCCCCATTAGCTAAAGTGGTGCTTCAGGTTAAGAACAGTTTCAGGTTAAGAACGGACCTCCAGAACAAATTAAGTTCTTAACCTGAGGTACCACTGTATTATTATTATTATTATTATTATCATTATTATCATTATTATTTATTTGTACTTCCCCAGCCACTCTGGGCGGCTTCCAACAAAGATTAAAAATACATTAAAATGTCACACATTAAAAACCTCCCTGAACAGGGCTGCCTTCAGATGTCTTCTAAAAGTTAGGTAGTTGTTTATCTCTTTGACATCTGGTGGGAGGGCGTTCCACAGGGCGGGAGCCACCACCGAGAAGGCCCTCTGCCTGGTTCCCTGTAACTTGGCTTCTCGCAATGAGGGAACCGCCCGAAGGCCCTCGGAGCTGGACCTCAGTGTCCGGGCAGAACGATGGGGATGGAGACGCTCCTTCAGGTATCCAGGGCTGAGGCCATTTAGGGCTTTCAAGGTCAGCACCAACACTTTGAATTGTGCTTGGAAACATACTGGGAGCCAATGTAGGTCTTTCCAGACTGGTGTTATGTGGTCTTGGCGGCTGCTCCCACTCACCAGTCTAGCTGCTCCCTACAACGACCCTGTGAGGGAGGTTATGAGGCTGCGACTGACTCCAAGGTGACCCAGTGAGCTTCATGACAGAGCGGGGATTCGAACCCTGATCTCCCAGGTCCGACGCTCGAACCACTACACCACAATGGCTTCCTAAGGGACTTCTGCTTTGGGGCAGCTCAAGAAACTAAGTAGGTAAATAAATACGGAGAAAGCCAAACGTCACTTAGAGAAGGATCTGAAATATTTTCCTTGAAGCTTGAATCTGGTTTATGATGGACTTTTTTATTTGATGTTTTAATGTGTTATAAACCGCTTTGAGATGTTTTTTCCCCTTTAAAACATGAAGCGGTGTAGAATGAAATGAATAATAAATAAATCACAATAAATTCCAATAAATGGCAGCCAGGCATTCCGATTCGCTTATAAATCTGAGTTTCTAACACTGCCTCTACCCCACCTTGCCCCCCCAAAAAAAAATATTATGCCGTCCTCAGCAACCCCCCCCCCCCAGATGCGATCAAATTCCAACTCCCAGAAGGCAGGGAGAATGGCAGGCACTGCAGATCAGTAACAGCTGGAGGGCTGCAAATTTCTCTCTGATTCCAGGAAAGAGATGGAGGCAGCCAGGCCTTTCCTAGAATTCACAAATTCCTCTCCCTACTGGGAAACAGGGAGTCAGGGCTGCCTCTAGGGGCGAATGCTGCGTCCCCCGTCCCAGCCCCCTGCAACCCACCCCCACCCCCCAAAAATAAAAGATCCTGCCAACGTTGCAGGAAAAAGCAAAAACAGAGGGAAGAGGCGAGGGGAAGAGCTCTGCGCTGGTCCGGCAAATCAGCTTCCATCAGCAATTTTGCCCACTGGGAAGGAGGGAGCCAGGGGTCAGCCGGGGACCGTGACAAAAGGGGGCAGCCGGGGTTGCCAAAAAAGCCGCAGGGCCAGCCTGGGTGGCTCCTGACACCGATCCGGGCGCAAAGAGCTCTGCGGGATGGCTCTGAGCCAAGCAGTCTTCGCAGCTAAGCCCCAGCACCCGTTTGAGGCAGAGGGTCTAGGCAGGGAAAACGGCTGTCGGCCTTTATTCTGGATTACTGCAAGGTCTTCTGCATGGGGCGTCCTCCAAGGACGGCTCAGAAACTCTAGCGGGAGCAGAATTGGGCCGCCAGGCTAATCACCGGGCCGAGACGGACTGCGCCGGCTGCTGATCGGTTTCTGGGCCCCCTCCAAAGTGCCGGTTTTGCCGAGGAACCGCAGTATCTCAAGGGCCGCCTCTCCCCATTGAACCCACCCAGATCCTCTGATTATCATCCGAGAGGTCTGGCAGCACGAGAGCAGGGCCTTTTGTGGGGTGGCTCCCCGTTCGTGGAAGACTCTCCCCAGGGAGGTTCGCCTGGGGACTTTACTGCACATCTTCAGACACCAGGCAAAAAACATTCCCATTTAACCAGGCTTTTGAATGTTAAACTAAATGTGTCAAGTGGGGGGGGGGGTAATGTTTGTTTGTTTGTTTGTGTTTTTATATTGTCAAATGCCCTGTGATCTTCAGATAAAAGGGTGGTATATAAATTTAATAAATAAAGAATAAAAATAACTTGCAAGTGAGGGGCCCTCTGAGCGTCCCTTTCAATAGAGCAACCAAGCCAGACCCTAGATTGCTCCGGAAGGCAGGACTTGAACCCATGGCTTCAACTTGCAAGAAAGAAGATTCCAACTCAATACCCGGAAGAACTTTCTGATAGTAAGAAGGGCTGCTTGAAGCAGAGAATAAAGCAGAGTTTGAAGGGCCCCCTGTCAGGGACCCCTCAGCTGGGATTCCTGCCTTGAAGCGGGTTGGGCTAGATGACCGCTGGGGGTGCCCTTCGACTCAACGATCCTACGATTTAGGGAAAGGCGTGCTGGGAGAAGATCAGAACGACAGCGCCGGTTGAAACAGGAGAGAGAGCAGGGCAAAGTTCTTTGCGGAAATGATAGGTGCAAAATCACAAGACTGTCTAGCCCCCTTCCCTGCCCCACAGAGCACACAAACACCAAGGGGCTCAGCTCCTCCCCCAGTTCTAGGAACGCAGGAGGGTGAGTTGGCTGCTGTTTCTTAGAAATGCACCCTGGACGTCCTCAGAGACACTCTTTCCCTGCTGTGCATTCCACAGTGATTCCAAAATCCACCTTCTCCAGGGACCCCACAACTATCTGTGCGCTCGTTACACAACAGGTACAGTTCTCGTCTGGCCGACACTGCCTCTGTGTGCTTCTGTCTTTCCAGGAAAGCGGAAAAGGACCCCCCCCCAGCCACCCCCCGAGACAGGAAAAGGCTCCCACCTCCCTCTGGCAGGTGGGATGAATTAGCAACCCCTTGACAGGTACCCCAAAGAGGCAACACGGGTTGTGGTAGGGTGCCCTTGCAATGCAACACCTCCAGGGGTCCTGGGAGCCCCCTCCTCCTCCCCAGACCCCCACCCCAAATGCAGGAGGCCCAGGACCCCCCAGGACCCGCCCTGGCTGGCCCAGAGGTCGCCGGCGTCCGCAACAGCTGAGCGTTTCCACCAAAGGTCCAGCTGTTGCTAGAAGGGGGGGCGCAGAGCAGGGGAAAGCCTTGGGGAGCTCCTGGCCCCCAGCATCACATTTCAGGCACACGGCAAAGCAGGGGGCACCAGGGAGACCACCAGATCCTGCTGTGGTTCCTGTATCGCAGGCTGTGGGGGTAGAAGGCCTGTCGGTAAAGCTCGAGACAATTAATCTCAGGGTTGTGGGTTTGAGCCCCAAGTGGGGTGAAATATTCCTGCCTTGCAGCGGGTTGGACTGGATGACCCTCAGGGTCCCTTCCAACGCTGCAGTTCTGTGATTCTAGAATCGTACACCTATAAGGGACACCCCAAGGTCATCCAGTCCAACCCACCCCACTGCAAGGCAGGAATAAAGATGGCACAAGCTTGTTTTCTGCTGTTTCAGGAGGTAAGATCAATATTATTACGAGGAAGGGCTTGCCAAGGAGCCGCTCAATGGTGGAGCCGCAGAGGTGTCTAAGCAGAGGTCAGACGGCCGTCTCTCAGGGATTCTTCAGCTGCAATCGCTGCCTTGCAGCGGGTTGGAATGGATGACCTCTGGGGGTCCCTTCCAAAAACACAATTCCAGGGCGATACAATGGCTTTCCCAACCTAAATCTCTGCACCAACTGCACATTCGGAAGCACGGACGCAACACGACCCAAACCACCTCCCACGCTGCCACCTCGCACATGGGCAAAGCAGAAAAAAAAGAGTCCTCTGCTCCCGTGCAGAGTTCCAAAAGGCCAATGCGGACACCCACCCACCCACCGGAAGCAGGATGTGCCCCCTCTAGGCCAGCGCAGGGACAAGAAAGCAAAGCATTTTGTAGAAACCTACTTTACGCAGAGAGGGAAATGCACTCTTCACATGCACACAGAGAGCCGGGAGTCCTGCACTGCCGGGGTTGGACTAGATGAGCCCTGGGGGACCCTCCGGAACTCACCTTGGTCCGTCCGCGGATGTCGTAGGTGCCCAGCCTGCCGGCGCACTGAAGCATGAGCCGGTCGACGTGCGCCATGAGTTCTCCGATGGCACGGCACCCGGGCTCCCAGCCCTCCACCCAGGCGATCTGGTCCCCCCGGATGGTGTGGGGCGGCACTGCCCTCTGGCTGACCAGCTGCCCGTCGCGGAACTTGCCACTGCGGTGGAGCCCCTCCACCTCCGCCAGAATCCGGGCGCCCAGAACCTCCCCGAGGAAGGAGTCCTTGACGCAGATCCCATAAAAGTTCATGCAGGGCACCACGTAGTCCAGTGCCAGGCGCCCCGAAGGGGGTGCCCGGGTCTCCGGGGGGGCTTCTCGTTGCCTCTTGGGCCCCCCCTCGCCCGCAGGGTCGTCGTCGCTGCCGTGCTCTGCCCTGCGGCGTTTAGGGTGCCCATTGAGTGCCAACAGGAGGAGGCTCCCCACGGCTGCCCCTTCGCCCTCCAGGGGGCAGGCCTCTCTGCCCTGGCTGCCCCGACCCATCCTCTGGCAGGGGGGGAACCCTAGCGCGGCGTCCGGTGGGCGCGACTCCTCCATGGCATGTCCCGGGAGCAGGCGGGGGCCGGCGCCATCTTGCGGCCGGGGCGGATTCAGGTGCGGGCAGGAAGGCAGTTCACGGAGAAGAAACTCTTGGGGGTGCCATGTTGCAGTGGGGGGGTGCTCTGCCCCCTTGCCTAATATGGGGGGGGGGTTGAAAGGCAGGTAAGGTCAAGGCAAAGATCTGCACTAGGCCAACATCCCCCTCCCCACCCAAGCTGCTCTGGGCACGGGTTCAAATCATCCCACTTGGCTCAGTTTGCCGCCTTTCACGGATCTCTACCTCGCAGGGTTGGGGTGGAGATCAAAGCTGGGGGACATGGGTTCAAATCCCACCCACCCCTCTCCCGGACTTCAACCTGGAGGGCCAGCCGCTGCCTCTCTGAGCCGAACCCACCTTGCGGGGTGGGGGGTTAAAGGAGGAAGGGGAGAACCAGGACGGTGCCCCCCCCCAGCTCCTTGGGGAAAGGATGGGGGAATGGCAGAGATGAAACAAAAAGAGGGAAGGGGGGGCGACCGGGAGAGGCAGAGAGGGATTGGACACCCCCCCCAAAAAAAAACACCCAGAGCAGCCACCCAAAAAGCACCCCCTGAGCGCGCGCAAGGAAGGAAAAGGCGAGTTTCCCAAGTTGGCCGGAGAACCGGCGCGATTGTTTGGGGGGGGCTCGGTTGGGGGGGTTGAAAGAGGGGCGCCCACTGCGGGAGGGCTCCCCGGGAGGAGGGATCCAGGACTGCGGGGGGGGATCAGGGGAGCCATTGCGGTAACCCCCCCCCCCGGGAAGAGGGGTGCAGGGATTTAGGGGGTCCAGCCTGCGCCCCCTGGTGACGCCCCCATTCCGCCTCTCGTACCTGGGCTCGCCGGGAGGGATCTGTTGTCGCAAGCGGCTAGTCCTCAATGCGCCCCCGGCCGCCGCGAGGCCTCTTCTTCCTCCTCCTCCTCCTCCTCTCCTCCTTCCGTCGCTCCTCCTCCTCCGCCGCCCTCCGCTTTTGTTCGCCGGCCCGACGAGCCCGAGCCCGGCTGCGCGGGGAGGAGGAGCCTCGGCCGCCGACCAAAGGCTCGGCCGGGGAGGCGTGGCGGCGCTTCTCTGAACATGTGCAGAGCGCGGCGCGCGCGGAGACCCGCCACCTGCCGGCCCTGCGCGGCGGGCCGAAGAGGAGCGCCTATGGGAGAAGGGATGGGGGGCTCCCGGACTACAACTCCCAGGAGGATGGGAGTTGTAGTTCGCCAATACCTGGGAGGGACACCCCCCCCAGCTCTCCCCACCCCTCGGGGGGCAACCTGGGGTTCCTTCTACCGGGCTCCTTTCTTCTCTTTACGCCTTTTCGGAGCAGGGCAGCAGCGCCTGGCCATAGGATCGCGGCCTTGGAAGGGACCCCGCCGGGTCATCTAGCGCAACCCGCTGCAATGCAGTTGGTCTGCTGTCCTCTGCACGGTGTCATTGCGGTGGGAAAGAAGGGGGAGAAGAGACAGGCTGTTGCTGGGGGTTCAAGCAGCCTTGGTGGTCAGTACCAGGGCACAGCGTCTTGGCAGCTGCAGGTTTTATTTTTATTTTATTAAAGCAAGTTTCTTGATCATGGGTAGGCAAACTAAGGGCCGGGGCCTGGATCCGGCCCAATCGCCTTCTCAATCCGGCCCGCAGACGGTCCGGGAATCAGCGTTTTAACATGAGTAGAATGTGTCCTTTTATTTAAAATGAACCTCTGGGTTATTTGTGGGGCATAGGAATTCGTTCATTCCCCCTCCCCAATATAGATAGATGATAGATAGATAGATAGATAGATAGATAGATAGATAGATAGATAGATAGATAGATGATAGATAGATAGATAGATGATAGATAGATGATAGATAGATGATAGATGATAGATAGATGATAGATGATAGATAGATAGTCTGGCCCCCACAAGATCTGAGGAACAGTGGACCAGCCCCTGCTGAAAAAGTTTGCTGACCCTTGTCATCTAGACTCTAGAGCTTACTGTCTGAATAGGAGGGCCAGTGTGGCACAGCAGTTAGTGTGCGGGACTAGGACCTGGGAGAGACCTGGGTTCGAATCCTCACTCAGCCGTGGGGCTGTCACTGCCTGTCTCAGACAAACCTGCCTCACAGGGCTGTTGTTGGAGATTTAATGGGGAGGAGGGAAGCCATTCCACTGCCTCCAGCTCCTTGGCAGAACATGGGGGATATAAATGCAGCAAGGGAAGGAATAGGCAGTATCTGAAAGGGGCCTAAGCAGAGTGGGGCTGGGCTGCGACTCCTGTTACTCCTCACCACTGAGCCAAGATGAAGCCAGTGGCTCTGTGTGACTCTCTAAGTTGGCGCTCATTCTCCTGGTTTCTTTTGTCTCTCACACCCCACCAAGCTGAGCAAAAGGTGCCTGGCAAGCTTTTCTGAGCATTTCCCACTCTGCAATATCCTTTTTCAGACAAGGCGACCAGAACTCGACACAGTCTTCCAAATGCGGCCGCAGCAGAGATTTGTAAAACAGCATCGCGAGACGTCTCATCCCCGGGTTAGGATGAAGCAGGGAAGAGTTTGTTTGTGGCAGGCTACAACTCCCATGAAGGGGACGGGGTGGCGCTGTGGTCTAAACCACAGAGCCTAGGGCTTGCCGATCAGAAGGTCGGCGGTTCGAATCCTGAGCTCCTGTTGCTCTGTCCCTGCTCCTGTCAACCTAGCAGTTCGAAAGCACGTCAAAGTGCAAGTAGATAAATAGGTACCACTCCGGCGGGAAGGTAAATGGCGTTTCCGTGCGCTGCTCTGGTTCGCCATAAGCGGCTTAGTCATGCTGGCCACATGACCCAGAAGCTGTCCGTGGACAAACGCTGGCTCCCTCTGCCTATAGAGCGAGATGAGCGTGCAACCCCAGAGTCGTCCGCGACTGGACCTAATGGTCAGGGATACCTTTACCTTTACAACTCCCATGAGGCCAGATCTTTAGGGCTGATGGGAGTCGGGAGCCCAAGAACATCGAGGGGGCATCATCTCAGTTACCCACCTGTATGCTCCCCCCCCCCCCCATTCAGTCCATCCCTCTCACAGCTGAAGCCAGACCGTGAGTGCAGGGTGGGCAACATAAGCTGCCCTGGGGGTATTGCTGGACTGCACACACACCCCTTCCCAGACCTCTGGCTGAGCTGACTGGCATCAGACTCCAGCAACATGGGTGGGCAGTACAGTCTTCCCCCACATCATCCCTGAAATTGGGAAAACATTGTGAATACGGTTGGTTTATTGCCCACATTCCCCCCCCCCCCGATTCCAGTGTCTAATGCACAAACACACACACACAACTGGTCAGAAACCAGGCCAATGGCAGTGGGGTTGCAAGAACCTGTGGCCCCGAAGATTGCAATTCAATGGGGCTGCCAGTTGGCAACACATGGAGAGTCACGGGACCCCCATCCTTGGCACAGATGAACAGACTCCCTCAGAAGGTGGCGGACGGTCCTTTGCTGGAGGTTTCCAAGCAGAGGTTGGGTGGCCGTCTCTCAGGGATCCTTTCACTGTGACTGCTGCATTGAGGGGGGCTGGACTGGATGACCCTCAGGGACCCCTCCCAACTCTGCCGGTTCTACGGTTTGATGATTTCCAAGCTGCCAAGCTTTATAATATCACATGCAGAGATGCAATTACAATCTACATATATAGATTGTATATGTAGGACGGCCTAGGACCCTCGTATCTACGGGACCGCCTCTGCCGGTATGCCCCGCGGAGGACCTTAAGGTCCATAAATAGTAACACCCTAGAGGTCCCAGGCCCTAAGGAAGTTAGATTGGCCTCAACCAGAGCCAGGGCCTTTTCAACCCTGGCCCCGGCCTGGTGGAACGCTCTGTCTCCTGAGACCAGGGCCCTGCAGGATCTGATTTCTTTCCACAGGGCCTGTAAGACAGAGTTGTTCCGCCTGGCCTTTGGCTTGGAATCCACTTGATCCCCTCCCCCTCTTTCTTTTTTCTTTTTCCTTTCTCCTCCTGTGATGAGGCTGCATTTTAATATTTTAATGTTTCAATATTTTAATGTTGTATTTTAAGTTGTATTCATTCAACTTGTTTTTATTATTGCTTGTTAGCCGCCCTGAGCCCGGCCTTGGCTGGGGAGGGCGGGGTATACGGTAAATAAAAATTATTATTATTATTTATATATAATCTTCAGAATGTAATGAAATCTCTCACATTTCCTCTCCGATCAGAAGGAATGCAATGGCAGACTGGTGTCTAATCAGACTGGACTGGGGAGGCACGGCTGCTATTGGGGGGGCAGGATGCTCCTCTCAGTGGTGCCTGCATCCCGTCACCATGGAAACCACTTCATTCTCTTCTCCCCTCCCCCCCCCCAAACAAACAAACAAACCTTCCCAGGAACTGCTGAGGCTTAGAGAAAACCAAGTCATTTAAGTCAGTGAAAGTCTTGCCCACTCCCTTCCTGGAGGTTTTAGGAGGGAGGCAGAAGAGCGTTCTCAAATTGAAGATGCTCTCTTATTCTTCAAGCTTTAACTTTGGGCTGTATCGACTCGATGGCCGGCTCCGTTGGCCTTTCGCCACCAGCCTACGCAAAGAGCTTAGAGCCGTGGCAGGAAAACCGCTGTGCAAATATCCCGACGCTCTGGGGTGGGGAGTGTGTGAACCTGGAAAGGGCTGGAGGGGTGTAACTGGGAGCGTAATCCCTCCCAGACAACCTTGTCCCCCAAGATGCAGCCTTGGGTAGGTGCAGTTCTCAGTAATAATCATAATAATTATTTATGCCCTACCCATCTGGCTGGGTTCTTAGGTTTTTGCCTGGCCATCCATGTTCCCTGCTTTTACTTTGTACATCGTGGAAATTCTTTGCTCTTTTGCCGCTTGGCTAGCAAACGCACACACAAACAAACAAACGCATTCATTCATGAATGAATGAAAGAAAGGCACCACCAGTCTCCAACTTTGGAAAAAGAAAACAAAACGAAAGAACATTTTATGTAGGAGAAATCAAGTTTCACAGCCTTAAAACTGGAGGGAATGTTTGCAACTGGAGAGAGAGAGAAATCAACCAGCACATCTGGGCCATAAACTCTTTTTCGTAACCGTTGATTGATAAAAGGAGCCCCTCCACTCCCAGAAACACCCCCTTCCCTGCCCACCTCGGGGCAAATCGCCAGGGAGGGCTACCTGGAATCTGAGACAGAGAGAGAGATTTGTTTGTGTGGAAGCATTTGGGGATGGGGCCAGAAAGAGGACGGAAACCCCCAGGAGGCAACGAGGGCTTTCCCCCCCCCCCCGACACAGAAGTAATAAATAACAGAGTTAAGCATTATACCTTTGGGGGGGGGTATTTTAAAAAGGCAAAAGAAAATTCTAACTAGTTCTCTCTCACTGGCACACCCTCCCCCCTGTCAGCCTTCTCCCCTCTTGGGACATTTTTGAAGGAGTTGCTCAGCTGATGGAGGGGATGTGGAAGGGGGGGGTGTCTCTCAAAGCGCCTCTGATACTCCAGCAACGGCTCCCCAACCCATGTCAGGTGTCTGTAAAGCAAGGCAAGGCAGAGGGAGGGGGGACAGAACTCCAGCCATGCTCAGAGGCAAGGCCTGTGCACAGGCCCCAGCTCCCCTGTTCTCGTGCTGGGTTTGGGCTTGGTTTGGTTGAAAGCCAGCCGCGCTGGTGCCTGGGAGCTACCATGACACTCAGAACACCCCAGAGAAATCCAGAGAAAGACTCTCTGGAGCAGAGGAGAGGTGGGAAGTCATCAGAAAAGGTCTTTCGAAAAGGGATCCCCCTTGAAGACAAGACACTACAAAGGAGAGAGGATTGGGGTGGGGGGGCGGAGATACCCGGCTCCTAGACCTTCTTGCAAACAATGACAGACACCCGCCCACCCCAAAGGACTTTTCCAGAGTAAATCCCACTTGAGACTCGGATGGGAAGTTCTGCTGGGTTTAGAGCTTGGAAAGTGGGTTTATTTCTGAAGCCGCAAGAAGGGGGTTCTGCTGGAGGGGCGACCCAAATAACTCAGAGTCAAAGCAGGGAGGGCTCCTGGAGAGGAAAGGGGCTCGCCTTAAGCTCCCGGGCCAGAAAATCTCGCAAGCATTTTGCAGCGGTGCCTGGTCACCGGTTTTGAAGCACGGGAGCCTCTCATGACACTCACAGGCGACAACCCAAAGGGAGGGTCGTGAGAGCAGCAAGGGGAAGGGGCACACAGACAGAGACACGGCCGGCCTCCCATCGCAACGGGGTGGGGGGTGTGATCCTGAACACATAAGCTATGGCTCATTCTCTGCAGATGTGGACTCTTCGCTCAGACCAACAGGGGGCGTCCGGCGGAGAGAGCGACGTTTGTGCAAAACACACACACAAACACACATCCCCAAGGAAGGACATTTCTCACACGCAAAGTGATGGGGACACGGGGGTTGTGCATTCAAGCCTGCCCCCCCTTGCCCCGGAGGGAGGAGAGCGGGCGAGGGGAGGGCCTGCAAAGGAATCCATGGCTTTGGGAGAAACAGAAGGCGCCCCTTCCAATGGGCACAAAGCAGCGAGAGGAACACACACCCACAGACGTGCAAATTCTAGCTGGGTCCCACCTCGCAAGGGAAGCCCCATAGAGGCTGCTCAGGAAGAGGGTCTGTCTGGGTTGGCTCCTCAGGCAGAATATTCCTATGAGGGAACCGCAGAGAGGGCGGCCCCCGCTCTGCCCTGTAAAAACACCTCCAACCGGGCCATATTCTCCTCAAAAGGGGGGGGGGTTAAGATTCACTTGAAGGGAGGTGATTGGGGGAAAGGCAAGTTAAATATCTCCATAGTGACACCAACACCCCCCTTCTCGGACTCTTTTGTGGATCTCCGTCTCCTGCCGTCACTGTCAGCACAGAGCCCACTGACCTCAAAGCCACCAAGAGTCACAGGGTGGCCAGGAGGAGTGAGGGGCTCTCGGCCTGTGCCAGGGAAAAGCAACCGACCGGCGCCAGAGTCTCCTGTACGTTGCCCGCCTGGTAGCAACGCTCCTGCAAAGCTTCTTTCCGGGGAGGGAGACGAGGAGGAAGGAGGCAGCAGCAGCGCAGAGATGGAGGGCGAAGGCTTGGGAGAGTGAGGAGGCCAACGGGGCAGGTTGTCCCCGGAAGAAGAGGAGGAGGCGGTGGTGGCGGCAGTGCTTCGTACGGCCCTGGGTCCAAAGCAGGCAGAGTCCCAGCACTGAGAGACAAGAAAGGAGGGGAGGGAAGAAGAAGCAGCTCAGCGAACGGCAGCGCTAGAAGGGCATCGCCTCTTCCCATGATTCACTCCAGGGCCTGGCTGCTAAGTCGCCTGCCTCAGTTTCCTCACTGCAGGTAACAGGTGCCTCTCCACCCCCATCATTCTGCCCAGACACTGAGGTCCAGCTCCAAGGACCTTCTGGCGGTTCCCTCATTGCGAGAAGCCAAGCTACAGGGAACCAGGCAGAGGGCCTTCTCGGTGGTGGCACCCGCCCTGTGGAACACCCTCCTTTCAGATGTCAAAGAGAAAAATAACAACCAAACTTTTAGAAGACATCTGAAGGCAGCCCTGTTTAGGGAAGCTTTTAATGATTAATAGGTTATTGTATTTTAGTGTTTTGTTGGAAGCCGCCCAGAGTGGCTGGGGAAACCCAGCCAGATGGGTGGGGTATAAATAATAAATAATAATAATAATTATTATTATTCATTATTATTATATAGGGATCAGGCCAAAGGGGCGCCACGTAGTCTAGCGTCTGGCTCTCACTGTGGCCAAATACCCCTAAGAGCCTAGGAATGGCGATAGACTGCCTCTGGGCCTGGAGGTTCCACAAGGACCGAACAAGAGCCAGAATGCAGGATCAGGCCAGTGGCCCGTCTAGTCCAGCATCCAGTTCTCAGAGAGGCTAACCAGATGCCCCCAATCCCGCAAGCAGGATCCGAGCACAAGCGCCCTCTCCCTTCTCTTGTGGTTTCCAGCTACCGGCATTCAGAAGCATAGCTACCTCCAACTATGGAGGAGCAGCAGAGCCATCAATAGCCCTCTCCTCCTCCAGGAACTTGCCTCCTCCTCTTTTCAAGCCATCGAGGTAAGCTGACCTTTATTTCCTCCTGTGGGAGTGAGTTCCACAGTTCCAACGATGAACTGCGTGAATGACAACTTTTATCGGTCCTGAACCTTCCCGCATTTGCCTTCATCCGATGTCCGCAAGTGGCAGGGAGAAAGGCTTTTCCATCTCTGATTTCACCATGCCATGCGCAATTGCGGAGAAGCAGGGACATTGGAAGGACTCCCCACATCCTACCCCAACCTTAAGGGTCCAGGCCCAATTCTGCCACCCTTGCGCTCAGCTCCAGAGCACTCCCCTCCCCACCCTGGACAGGAGCCTCTGCAGTGGGGCTTCCTCCACAGCCTCCCCCCCAGCTGACCTTGCAAGGCAGTTTCCAGGCATGCTCTGGCGCCGGCTCTAACAGTTGCATTGCTGCCGGGTCTGTGTTTGGGTCCCTCGCGGTTGCCGCAGCTGTCGCAGGGAGGCGTCCCCGTACTGGATGCCGGAGCCCATCCTCTCCGGGTCAAGTTCACCTGGCGGGGTGGGGGAGAAAAAGGCAAGAGTCACCGGGGCGATTCAGGGACAGGTTGTAGTGACTCCCCTTCCGCAGCCAGACCATTCCTGATTCCCAAGCGCTTCTCCCCAGCCCAGAAAATGCTTTTTTGAACTTCCAGAGCAGGCATGAAGCCGAAGGATGAGCTTCTCTCTTAACTGAAAGGCTGCTCACCAGCGACTTCCGGGGTGGCGCCATCGGCAATGGCGGACTCCCTCTGAACAGGAGGGACTAGCTCCGCGGGAAACGGGTCTTCTCCGCTACGGCGAAGCGGGGACCCTTTTAAAAATCACAGGCGGATGAAGCCTGTGACCATGGGACTCGGCGGGCACCTTTAGCGCCCCCCCAACTCGCTAAGGAACCCACTAACGGGCTCCGAAGTGAAGAGGGGGAAGTGGCGCGGTGCTGTGAGTCAACTGCTATTCCCGTGGAGTGAAGCCGCATAGCCGTTGCTGGAGAGCGCTGCCTTTTTCCTCGGACAATTTGGACTCTAAAATAAGCACCCGTGAGTACTTAGACTTTGAACAACTGGACATTAAATAAGGACTTGCGAGCAGAAAGGAATTGGATTTTTAAAACCTATTTTAATTTGGTACGGAACGAGATGGTCTAAACAGGAAGTCAGCCTTCCGTTCTTTTGTAGACAGAATAAAGCAAAGACAACGTAAACTAGAGCTTAGAAAATCGCCTTTAAAGGATTGGATTTCATCATTTAAAATTGTGGAACCCCCCTTCGACAGCAGGAGAAGGGGGGATCTTTTCTGGACTGTTTAAAGTGAGTTTAAAGTAAAGTAACTTTCCTCCGTCCTGATCCTGGAGCGGGGTGTCAGGACTGACGTTTGAAGTTCATTGACCAGAGACAAGCGTTTTTGACAGATAGCTAAAAGAAGAGAAACATAGCGATTCCACTGCTTCTCTTCACATCTTTAAGCAACAAATATTGACAAAGTATATCAAAAAGGGAAACTTTGTTGCAAGAATAAATAGAAGTTTTCCCCCTAGAGGGAGACTGTGTAACTGTAACCAACTCCAGGGAGCTAGCAGCTGTTACAGATTACAATCGTGGGAACAGGCATTTGACCTTGCAAGACAATGTATTCAGAAGCTTTGTTGTGTGCTTTTTATAAAACAAATGCCCTACTGGAACAGTTACACGAGAAGGTGAATTGGATGGCGACTTCGACGAGAAATTTCGAACAGGCAGTGGGAAATTTTGAACAGACAGTGGGAAAATATGTGGAGCCCACCCAGGAATTAAATCAGGAGTGTGTCCTGACAGAACAGGCCCAACAGGAATATGAGTTTTCGGATTTGACAGATGAACTTGGAAAAAGCCAGATTTGGAAAGAAAGTTTGGTTTGGTTTGGAAATGGGGGGCTGGATTGACCCCCCTATGCTGGGATGTTTGGACTTTTCAAATCTGGCAATGGGCCGTGAGATGTTTGGGATTGTGGGGGCTCTTAATTTTGGAGGGTCCTTGAAACATGCTTTTAAATATCATATGGAATTCGGTGTTGAATATGGAAAAGGGGCTGATCTGTCGAGAAGGGTTAAAAATATTGCCAAGCTGGAGTTACCACGAGCAGGAGACAAGGGAAAATACAGTTACAAATATGAAGAAGAGCTGCGGAAGGGACATGGAAGAGACTTGAGGGCCTCGGATATAAGGCTGCCAGGTTAATGGGCTAGATCGACGGGATAATAAGGACTGACAAAACCAGGAACCAGGAGGAAGGGACGTTGGATGAAGATTGGATCTGTTTGCATCTCTTTTTTTTTACCATTAGAACTGTTTTATAAAATTGATGAATGTTAGAAAAATGTTGGAATGAAATTACTTGGCTTTAGTAAAGATGTTTAAAGAATTATGAAAGAATATTATGGTTATGAGAAGTTGGTAAGGATAAGATTAAAGTTTTAAGCTTTAAGATTTATTTTATTATAGAAAGATAAGATTAAAACAGTTTAGGGTAATGTAATGACAGAATATTATGAAATATGGAAAGGATTTGCTGGGATAATTAATAACTAGGATACAAAGAAAGGGAGGAGGAGGAGGTCAAAGAAAGAAGGTAATGACAGTTGAGGATTTGAGAATAATGAATTTGTTTTTAAATGTTTTTAATTGTTTGTGATGTATTTTTGTATTTTTTTCCTGTCACCTTTTCTTATTTTTGAATTTGTATTCATGTGGTTGGAAGGGGTTTGGTTTTTTTTCTTTTTCTACTTTGTTAACTATTTTTATTTTGTTTTTCCTACTGCTTTTATTTTATTTGGTAACACTTTAAATTTTTAATAAATATCTTATGAAAAAAAAATGAAAGGCTGCCCACCAAAGGCCCTGGTTGCCTGGCAGAGACGGGACAAAGGAAAGTCTGTGCCGTGGCTGGCAAACAGAATCCAAAGCCTGGCTCTGCAGGGCCACTCCTATCTGACGCTCGAAAAAACCCCAAAAGTCTGTTGGGATATTCCGTTCCGCCTTAAGGAACAGGCACGATTGTTGTGTGTCACATGCCTGTTTACATTCCAGCACAGCTTGCTGGGAACTTCCGTTTGTGTATAGCTTTTGCTTTAGCCGTTTTGCTTTGAACACGAAGGAGATCAGACATGTTTCCTTTTTACCCCGATATACGCTGAATAAACTGCTTGTAAATATGCCCACACAGCCTCTCCTGCCACTTCTGTTTGCACAGTGTTTACTCTGCTGAGTAGCATGCCCTAGCTTCTGAAGCTCGGGTCGCAGATTCATGCTGCACCAAGGACTGGAGTTCGCCTGGCACACTGGCCGGTGGGCTGGAGCCAGCTGGGGGCCTGCCAGTTGCCCCTGTTTCCTTGGTTGCATGCCAACAAATTCTGCATTAGTAAAGCAGCGATTCCTGCAATCCAGTGGGCTGGACTAGATGACCCCGGGGTCCCTTCAAACCCTCCCATTCTCTGATTCTAAGCAGCCTGGAAGCCCAGCAGCGGAGCTGCTTTGATTCCAGTCTGACGGAGTTCGGTCCTGATAAAACTCCTCTTCCGTCATCGCCGGTTCTCAGCTCTATGTGCCTCAAGGAAGCACTTTCCATGTCTGTGTTGGGCAGGATCCCTGAACACTCGGCCAGAGAGCCAGCATGGTGTGGGGGTTAAGAGCGGTGGACTCGTAATCTGGGGAACCGGGTTCGCTTCCCCGCTCCTCCACATGCAGCTGCTGGGTGACCTTGGGCCAATCACACTTCTCTGAAGTCTCTCAGCCCCACTCACCTCACAGGGTGTTTGTTGTGGGGGAGGAAGGGAAAGGAGAATGTTAGCCGCTTTGAGACTCCTTCGGGTAGTGACAATGCAGGATATCAAATCCCAACTCCTTCTCTTCTTCTTCGGCAGCACAGGCAGAGAGAGGCCAGCCTTCTCTGCGCCTTCTGGCACCCAACTCTCCCTGCAGCTGCAGGAGAAGACCTGTCAAGAGCGACCAAGCAGTCCACCTGCCCCTCCTCTCGAAGGAATCCCCAACTATGCACTTGTGGGGACCCTGAAAGCCAGCCTGGAAGCATCAGGCCCCCCAGCCCCATCTCCAGGGGCCCCAAAGGCCTTATGAATGCAAGCTACAGTGGCGCTCTAACACCGCCCTTGATGTTCCATCCAAGGTGAACCCCAGTGAAATTCTTTTGCATCTATGGCAGATCTTGCAAGAAATTAGTACCAACGTAGCAGGGAAAGGGATTTTGGACATTCCGTCAGATAGCTGGAATTGAATTTGGCATGCAGTTCTGCAAACAAACAGCTAGTACAACCCTAAAATAAAATTTGGAGCCTAACATGGTGCCTAAATGTCTTAACTGGATATATGAAACAGTAAAGCCTTGCCAGAGGTGTGAAGTGGCAAATTCTGAGATACAACGTACATTCTGGATGTGTCCCCAAAATCAGGAAATTCTGGGAAGATGTAGCAGTGGAAATGGAAGCAATAACTGGCTATGCTCTACATGGATGCTTGAATTTTCCTATTTCAGTATATTAAAGGAACTGTGCAGGAAGAGAACAGGGAACTAACCCAAGGTCTGTCAGAATTATTATTTGACAGAATTGGGGAGGATATGTCAACACCAGCCATGAGAGAACAGGGGAACTAAAATCTGGGACACAGCATGCACTGTGAAGCTCACACAGATGGTGAGAAGCAGAGAGGGCAGGAAAAAAGATGATTTCTTAATTAAGAAATGGAGCCTTTTCATGATGCACTGAAGAATTTGTGTTTCTTAGAACCTTGCAATATTAATTTATTGTGTTCAATTTTGGTAGGGGAATTCTGTCCTATACGTTTAGCTCTCAATAGATATGCCTTTCTGTTAAAGCAAGGAATGGGGGGGGCAGTTAAACGACTTCCTCAAAACCCCAAGTCCCCACCACAGCCTCTAACTAAGGCCAGGATAATGACCATTGACACAGGCACCATACATGGGTTTGCTGAGGCCAGGTGTTCCCAAAACCCATCCTCGGGAAGGCTGAAGGGCTAGGGTATGCATAGTTTTATTGTTCTTTGGGTGGCGGGTACTTAAGAGTAAAACTTAAAGGTAAAGGGACCCCTGATCATTAGGTCCAGTCGTGGCAGACTCTGGGGTTGCAGCGCTCATCTCGCTTTACTGGCCGAGGGAGCCAGCGTACAGCTTCCAGGTCATGTGGCCAGCATGACTGAGCCACTTCTGGCGAACCAGAGCAGCGCATGGAAACGCCGTTTACCTTTCCACCAGAGCAGTACCTATTTATCTACTTGCACTTTGAAAGCAGTGCTTTCGAACTGCTAGGTTGGCAGGAGCAGGGACCGAGCAACGGGAGCTCACCCCGTCACGGGGATTTGAACCGCCGACCTTCTGATCGGCAAGTCCTAGGCTCTGTGGTTTAACCCACAGTGCCACCCGCGTCCCTTAAGGTGCCTGGGACTAAATCTGATAAGCGGAGCAAGTTGATGAACTTGGGTAACCTCAATATCACCCTCCCTCTTTGCGACATGTTGATGATATATCAGTGATGTATCAATGCTGCTTCTGGAAAGGTATTATAGGAAGGGGGAAAGGTCTTAAAAGAGCTTGTAACCTATGTTTGGGGTTCTTACTCTGTGTGGGAACCTGTTGCACAACAATAAAGATGGTGGTCTACTGACTGCTGTTTTGCTTCAAATTACTTACTTCCTTCTTTTACTAACCACGTAAGACCTGTGGGGGACTTGCACCTCGATGAGCAGGCCTGTTGAGTAGGCTCTCAACCTGGAATTTTTGCGTAACACTTTCTATTTTTCTTTTATGTGACGTTTGCTATCGTGCTTTGTTATGTTATAAATAAAATACACGCTAATAATAATTTTAAATATAACCGAAGGGAGAGAGAGAAAAATGAACCTCTTGGAAGTCACAGCCGTTTTCGCCTAACGTTCATTTTTGTTTGGAGTCGGGTGGGGAAAAGAAATCAACCCAGGTACCTGATTCAATTTTGTTCAGTATGGTCCTTGCACATTTCAAGAAAGCTTCCTCCACATTCTCCCCGGTCAAGGCGCTGGTCTCGAGAAACATTAACTCTGCCAGGTTAAAGGAAAACAGAACATGGGATAAAGATGATAAATTTGGCCCAGCCTTGGAAGATAAAGCAAAGAGGGTGTGAGGAGGCAGCCCCTCCTCCTCCCAAATCCAGGGGGAGGGGGGCATTTCCCAGGGAGAATGAGAGCAAAAAGAACAGGGCTTAAAAAAAAAAACTGAATGAAAAACTCCAGGTCTCCCGGACTCAAGTCTTCCCCCACCCTCTGCCTCCATGTCTCAAGAGTTAGCCACTGCAGAAGGAGTCACAAAATGCCGTTACTCATTAACAAGCTGAGAGGGCGCAGGAATCTAGGCTGAGCTGCCTTCTGCAAGCCGAGAGAGGGGCAGCCCCAAAGGCACCCTGTGGCAGCCCCCTGCCAGGCACAGCTCAGCCGGTCGTCCCAACCTCTGTTCTTGGTGGTGCCACCACAAAGGCGGCACAGGAAGGAAGCGCAGCAGCAGCAGCACCTCAGCAAGGTACGCCCTGAACAAGCGGCTGCAACAGCCAACTGCAGGTGAGGAGGGGAAGGGGAGGAAGGGAAGGAGCCACTTGCGAGCTAAGAGCAAGAGAAGAGTCCGCTGGATCAGGCCAATGGCTCGGCTGGTCCGGCACCCTGCTCTCACGGTGGCCAAATACCCCTAAAGAATCCAGATAGACTGCCTCTGGACCCGGAGGTTCCATAAGAACCGAACAAGAGCCTGGGTGCTATATCGGGCCAAGGGCTCATCTAGTCCGGCATCCTTTTCTCGCACTGACGTAATAATACGATATCATACTCTTTATTGTCATTGTCCCATACAGAACAACGAAATTGAAAAAAGAAATCTACATAAGACATTCAAAACCAACAAGCCTGCTATCCCAGCCATCCCAACCTAGTTAGCTCCCTATAAACTCTTGATACCCCATTTTTAAAATACAATATACTCCCATAGAGACTCCTTTTACTGCGTTTAAAACCAAAATCGCGTTTGGGTAGAAACTGTTTCTCAGGCGGCTAGTCCTAGTCTTTATAACCCTGTACCTTCTTCCAGAAGGCAGAAGCTGAAAGAGATCATTTCCGGGGTGTGCACTATCCTGCGCTATCTCTGCAGCTTTCTTATGACACCTGGAAGCGTAGATTTGATCCAAGGTGGGAAGAGTGCACCCAGTTATTCTCTCTGCAGTCTTTACAACCCTGGACAGCATTGTTTTTCCCCTGACCGTGCAGCCCCCAAACCACACACAGAGACCATAGGTTAATACACTCTCCACAGTACAATTGGAAAATGCCATTAGCAGGTCCTTTGAGAGACTGTTCCAATGGGAAGCCCGCAATCAGGATTCGAACACAAGCCCTCTCCTGCGGTTTCCAGAAACTGGGATTCAGAAGCATGGCTGCCTCTGCCCACGGAGGACAGAGCAGAGGCATCGACAGGCTTCTTCCTCCATTGGTGTGTTGATTATGCCCCTCCCCAGCAACCCCCCCCCTTGCATATGTTACCGTTCTCCTGAGCAAAACGAGATGCTTCCAGAAAAGTGACTTCCCGGTCGGCATCCAGGTCCTTCTTGTTGCCGCAGAGAATAATGACTATGTTGGGGCTGGCCAGAGTCCGGGCGTCCGTCAGCCAGTTGGTCAAGGCATTGTACGTCTCTCTGCTGCAATACGGGACCAAAATTGGGAGGGGGGGGAGAGAGAGAAGCGCACCCATCAGGCAGGCAGAAGGAAAAAGAGAGCGCCGAGTGGTTAGTGCCTGGACTAGGGCCTGGCAGAGCTATTCCGCCTGGCTTCCAATTTGAACTTAGCCTGATCTTTTATTCCCCCTCCTTCCCTCCCTCTCCCCTTTTTATGAAGATTGCCCGCTCTGGGATCCCACAGCTAATTCTCCCCTGGTCTCCTCGCTGGCCCAAATAGGACTAATTTAGCAAGCTAGCCCTGGGGATCATCTAATGTTTATTGGATGGATTTCCCCCCTAAACTGATTTTTGAATTCTGAATTTATTGTTATTCACATTTTATACTGTATTTTATGTTATTATTTTTGTTGCATCAATTAAGTGTTTTAAATTTGTTCTTAGCTACCCTGAGCCCAGTTTTCTGAACCAGGAAGGGCGAGGTATAAATAAAAATGTATTATTAATTATTTATTATTATTATTATTATTATTATTATTATTATTATTATTATTATTATTATTTCGGGGAGAACCGTGGGCCAGCCACTGTTGCTCTCAGCGTCTCCTACCAATGCACAGGGTTGCTCTGGGGATTAAATGAGGACTAGGACCTGTGAGAGTCAGGGACGCGGATGGCGCTGTGGGTAAAACCTCAGTGCCTAGGACTTGCTGATCATATGGTCGGCGGTTCGAATCCCCGCGGCGGGGTGAGCTCCCGTCTTTCGGTCCCAGCTCCTGCCCACCTAGCAGTTCGAAAGCACCCTTAAGTGCAAGTAGATAAATAGGGACCGCTTTATAGCGGGAAGGTAAACGGCGTTTCCGTGTGCTGCGCTGGTGCTGGGCTTGCCAGCTGCAGCTTCGTCACGCTGGCCACGTGACCCGGAAGTGTCTTTGGACGGCACCGGCTCTAGAGCGAGATGAGCACGCAAACCTAGAGTCGGACACGACTGGCCCGTATGGGCAGGGGTACCTTTACCTTTAGGACCTGTGAGAGACTAGGACCTGCAGGTTGGGGGGGGGGGGGAGGAGACGGTCAGGAAGGAAGGCAACTGCAGAGACATACCTGGTGATGTCGTAGACCAGGAGCGCCCCAGCTGCGCCCCGGTAATAACTTCTCGTTACCGACCTAGAGAAGAGAGAAAGAAGTTGAAGGTCTCGGATGGGGCTGAAAAGCGACAGGATGCAGACACGCGCTTTTTAGGCAGTGATGCTGTAGCGACTTCCAGGGGGGCAGGGAGACGCTTGCTTCTGAGCAAAAACGCACAGGGCTGTTCAGATAGAAGCCCACAGAAGCCCCCTCTCAAGAAACAGGGGCTCCCCCTGCCCACCCCCAACCACTGCTCATCCATACAGGTCTTGAGCTTCTATTCAAAGCGGGTGGGCTTCGTATCCTGCACTCAGGGTTCGCCAGCTCCAGCCCCTTTTGACAAAGGTGGCTTGACCCCTGGACCTCTGGAAACTTCCAGACTGGATCACTGCAGGGCACTCTACATGGGGCTGCCCTTGAAGACTACAAAACTTCAGCAGGTCCAAAATGCAACGGGGAGATGTTTTTTTGCGTTTTAATATTTTGTTGGAAGCTGCCCAGAGTGGCTGGAGCAACCCAGTCAGATGGGTGGCATACAAATAATAAAATTATTACTATTAATATTAGTGGTGTGGCAAAGAGAGCAATACCACCGGTCTTTGGCAGATATTGGTGATCATGCAGCTTCATGAGCAATGGGGGTGAAAACCCTGCGATGCACACTTGGGTATTTCAAATAAATTCCCAGAAATATGGACACGGAGGATCCTGCTCCTTACCTAAAGCGCTCTTGCCCAGCCGTGTCCCAGATCTGGAGCTTGACCGTTTTGCCACCAACGTTCACAACCTTTGATCCAAATTCCACCCCTATTGTGTGGTTGGAATCTTGCTTGACTGTAAAAGTGCAGAGAGAAGGGGGTGCGGAATGAGGAACGGGCAGGAAGGCGCAGCCACAGGAAGACCTAAGAACTTCATAAAACGCCTCGCATGTCACGTAAAACACTGCAATTCAGACGTTACCTGTCCCCAAACCCTGGAGAGAACGGTGCCTGCCTCTCCTCTTTCAGCTGAACAGATTTGGGGCAGAGGGGACAGCCGAAAAGGCGGCTCATGTGGTCAGGGTGAAGGAAAAGAGAGGTGTCAGATTCAGGTGCAGGGCACAAGGCTGGCAATGGGAGGAAAGAGGCCTCTAGGTTGTTCCTCTGCAGCCTTTTGCAACACAGGAAGGAAATGGCGGGGATCTTTACCTTCCATCTCTGACTCACTCTGTTCACATCTTTTAGCCAGCCTTAAGTGCTCGGCAGCTACAAACAGCCTTGTCAACAGGACGTTTTTCATCTCTCTGCGTGGCGCAGGGAGAAGACGCGCCCTTTCCATCAATCTGCCTTGTGCTCCGATAAAATGCAGGGCAATAATAAAAAAACAGAGTGGTGTTTTTCTGAGAAGATTTACAGCCACCATCTCATGTTATTCAGGCACTTTCTATCATATCCTTAAAAAAATCTCATTACCGGTTGCTAGAAACGGCAGGAGGGGAGAGGGCTGCTCTTGTCCTGCTCAAATCCTGCCTGCTGGTTCCCAAAGTGTCATCTGGTTGGTCCCTGTGAGAAGAGGAGGCTGGACAAGATGAGCCATTAACCTGACCCTGCAGGTTCTTTTAATGTTCTCATGTGCTCTTCCAGTGTGCATTTCTAACCCGATCTAGAGAGCTAGCTTTCTTGTTTCTGTCGTTTTAATTTGGCTTTCAAAGTTGTTTTTGTTATACCGGCTTTTTGTTTCCAACTCCTTGCAAACTGGCACATGCCTAGAAAGGTGGAATGCAAAGGTGGCAACACACAAAATAAACTTACATTTGTTCTCTATGAACTGGTGGAGGAGGCAAGACTTCCCTGTTCCGGCACTTCCGATCACCAGGAATTTGAAGAGGAAATCTGGAAGGAGAACAAGAGAGAGTGAGAGTGCCCTGGCAATAACAGGCTCAAAAATGAATGTAGGTTGGGAGAGACCTGGCCAGGAGACTTAGGAGACTAGTGGTGTCCCTGTACTAGCAAAGAAGACCAAGGTAGTTGGTATACAAAATCGCAGGACACCAACCCTCCTTCTCTCACACAACAGCAGAAGCATCTCATGTCCAGTGATACACAGACAATTGCAGCATCGCATGGTAGCCACAAAAGCAGTCAGGAATTCACAGGCCCCATTTGTGGGGTCAGGAGTCTATTTTGTCTCACTCTGCAACCACTTGACTTCACAGGCACTCCCAGGAAAAATCAACACCATCACTGCTTAAGATAAGAGCTGCTAGCCCCAGCCCAAGATTAACTCTCCCCTTTTGCCTTCCTCCTCTTTTTACTAGGAAAATATTTTGGGAGCTGATGTTGCACAGCTGTCAGAGGTGAGGCAGCGGCCAGAATAGAAGAAAATGTTGTCCTCTCCAGCTGGGCCGCAAAGAACATTCAGCTCCATCTGACAGGCATGACTGAGAGAAAGTGGCAGAACTCAACACTTCTCTCTGCCTTGCAGAGAGTGAATTACATTTTTCCTTTCAATGGTCCTCAGCCAATGTCTTTATAAGCCCCTCCTCTGCATCCAACCTCCTTCTTGCACCACGGGGCACTACAGTCCTCTGACACTTGTGCCCCCCAGCAGCTGGGACTCGGGGTGTTCTTGCTGAAAAAAGCAGGACAAACTTGGAAGCACCAAAGAACTCTTGCCCTGTTTTTGCTGTGGGAGAACTGACACAGCTACAGCTCTGCAATCTGAAGGGGCTCAGAATTCTTGCTCCACGTTCCACGTCAAGACGGGCCCAGTTTCTCAAGCTCCCATCAACTACGTCGTATTTCCATTTGCGCACCAGTCCCTGAAGGATTCAGTAGCGGCGCTCTGGGGCAGCTTTCACAAGCAGCAATTAAGTTATTTGTCGTTCCGGCACCTGCGCAATTCGAACACCCTGCCCCACATCATGCAGAGGCAGCGATTATGAACATTCGTGCACACTTATAGATGCCGCACCCACTGTTTCCCACCCAGACACCAGGCAAGGGGGATCAGGTCTGAAAAGGCAAACACGGCAAACAGCATTTTCACAGCTGTGCCTGTCGATAGAACCTCTTCAGGTACTGCATTAGTCAGGGCCAATACCCCCATGTATAGGAAGGGAGGGACCCCTCCCACACATTTAAAGGGACTGTTTTGTACAGCTCTCAACTGGGTTTTATTTGTTCGCTTAAGGGTTACAGCACTAAGAGGTATTTTTAGCACTGGCTTCCCAAGGAAGGGTTATGAATTCCCTTCCCAAGGAAGTCCCAAGGAAGACAGTTATGAATTACAGCTACTATTTATCTGTGTAGCCAAAGCCATCACAAACCAAAATACATAAAACAGAATAAAATACGTTATACAGGTAAAATAATTATTAAAAGCACACATTTGGTCAGATCAGAGTCTGCTCCCTTGAAGAATTTAACTTATAATTCCCACAAACCTTTCTCTTTAAAATTCCCATTCCAAAGGCAAAACAGGTCACATTTTCAGGGGTGTAGGGGGACCTGTTCCCGAATAAAATGTTAACCAGATACCCAATCGATCTCTCGACTCTAGACAGGTGGAGCCCTAGAATTGTAGAACTGTAGAGTTGGAAGGGACCCCAAGGGCCATCTAGTCCAACCCCCTGCAATGCAGGAATCGCAGCTAAAGAATCCCAGACAGATGGCCATTTAGAAACTTCCAATGAAGGAGAATCCGCCACAGCCACCTTCCGAGGGAGACTGTTCCACTCTCCTGCCATCAAACACTGAATTAGTCAGGTTCAGAAACTGTCATGAGTTAGTGTTTAAACGACACATAATCCCCAGTTCTTGGCCAGGCCATACATTCCTGCAGCATTCCCAGTTTCAGCCATGCACTGACCACTTTTGCAAAAAATAAAAGACATTCCCACTCCAATACCATTTACTTTGAAGAGCCAGGTGGACAGATAACCCCATTGTCTGTCATGGGGCATTTATGCTGCTGCTGGATCTTGCTCACCTGCCATGCAGGTAGTAAGGGTATCATAATGAGGGCTGTGATGTGGGCTGCCGCTGCTTCTTTCCTCGACATGGTTTTTTTTCCCCAGGATGTGCGACTTCTGTGGGCTAATTTTACACGAAAACATGCAGGGAAGAAAAGGCACCTAAGCCTCCTTAATGGAACATAATGAGGGTCATTACTGGGGAGGTGAAGGATTTCAAATAGGAAAAGGGCATAATTACACCCTCAGCCACCTCTTCCCGCTTCCCTCAATTTAGGAGCGCGGGGAGGCGAGGAGAGACAAATGTGCTCCGACCCGCCCAGCCGGCGTCACTTGGAGTTCTGTTCACAACAGAGTCATGTTCTGAGAACAGGAAAACAAAGACAGGCAGCGATTCTGCTGAGCTGCAATGCAAAAAAAAAATTGTTTTGCTTTTTTAAAGGCGGGGGAAAGGAAATCGTAGAGTCAGAAGAAGCACCCAAAGGTCATCCATTCCAACCCCCTGCAATGCAGGTCCAACCTCTGCTTTAAAATCTCCAAGGAAGGCGAGTCCACCACCTCCCAAGGGTGTCCATTCCTCCGTTGAATGGCTCCCACTCTCAGGTAGTTCTTCCTAATGTTGAGTCGCAATCTTCTTTCTTGTAACTCGAATCCATTGGTTCGGATCCTACCAAGTAGCAGAGAGCAAGCTTGCTCCTTCTTCCACGTAAAGAGAGTCTTGCTCAGGTTTCTTGGCTGTGACCCAGCCCCTCTTCTGGGTGCCTGGGCAAGACACTGGGCGACCTTCTTGGAAGAGGGTGGGAGGGAGGTGCAAAGAGAATCGCTTTGGGGTGGCAGGTATGAAAACTGCAAAGTTACCCTGCCAGGTTGACAAGGGACTCAGGTGCAAGAATCTCTAAGCCAGCCTTAGGAAAACACAGGAAATTGCCTTGTTTCAGGCTCATTGGTCCATGGAGCTCAGTATGAGTTTGAGTTTGGATTTGATATCCCGCTTTATCACTACCCAAAGGAGTCTCAAAGCGGCTAACATTCTCCTTTCCCTTCCTGCCCTACAACAAACACTCTGTGAGGTGAGTGGGGCTGAGAGACTTCAGAGAAGTGTGACTAGCCCAAGGTCACCCAGCAGCTGCATGTGGAGGAGCGGAGATGCGAACCCGGTTCACCAGATTACAAGTCCACCGCTCTTAACCACTGCACCACACTGGCTCTCTATTGTCTACACCAGGGGTCTGCAACCCGCGGCTCCGGAGCCGCATGTGGCTCTTTTACACCTTTGCCGCGGCTCCGGGGCGGATACTAGCGAGGGGAGGAGGCGCATTGTGCGCCCCGAGACTCTCCACTGTGGCGGGCGCTGTACTGGCTGTGACGTCGCATGGGGGCGGTGCGTGCATTAGTCACGAACTGTCCCGACGTCACCTTCCGCCCGCTGTCAGATCGCGGCTCCAGAGATATATTTGTTTAAAATGTCGCAATGGTTTTGCGGCTCCCAGTTTTTTCCCCCTTAGGAAACGGGTCCAAGTGGCTCTTTTTGTCTTAAAGGTTGCAGACCCCTGGTCTACACTGACTGGCAGCAGTGGGTCTCCAGCATTTCAGGCAGGGAGTCCCTCTCAGCCCTACCAGGGATTGAACCCAGGACCTTCTGCACGCAAAGCAGTTGCTCTGTACCACTGAGCTACGGCCCTTCATCGCCTACCTCAACCTGGCACCCCCCTTGATGCTTCGCCCTATAACTCCCGTCAGCTCAGGCCACAACAGCTGTTGGCACCCACAACATCTGGCGGGCAGCTGGGCCATGCAAGGCTGTCCTTGGCCCTTGTTCCTCCTGCCCCCTTGAATAGCCTCCCCCAGAAGACCAAAGCCAAGCACTGCCAACGGTCTGCTTTAACCCCCAACATGCCCAAGATAAGCCCACCCACCCCCCAAATATTATTATTTATTGAATTCAAATACCGCCCTCCACCCAAAGCCCATAGAGCATTTTAGACTATGAAAATGCAAAATGTGTAACATTCATTTTATTATTAAAAAACCCAATATTCCCCTCATGGACCCACCCACCCCTCTGTCCTAGTAGAGATCCCAGCAGCTGCTCCAGCAATAATAATAATAATAATAATAATAATAATAATAATAATAATAATAATAATAATTTATTAGGTGCCTCCCTTTAACCACGGGGCGGTTCTGAGCGCAGGAACCCAGAACGGAAACACAAAACACACCGCGAAAGAGACAAAACTAAACCAGTGACACCCTCCACACAAACCTCGCCTTATCCCTAAGCTCAGAAGGAGCCCCCACGCCCCTCGGCCTTGCCTGCCTCACAGAAATAGCTCCCTTCCGCAGAAGGGAGGCCAAGACACCCTCCCCCAAAAAACCCCTATCCTCCGCCCCTGCTGAATCCAAGACCCCCCCCCATTAAAAACAGGCCCAGGGGGCAAGCGGCGCCCTCCCCTCCGTAAAAAGCCCCTTTGGGGTAGCACACGAGTGGGGGCTTCTCCACACACACACACCATCCTCACAAGACAGACCCCACCCCACAAAAAAACCCATCACAATGTAAGTGATGATTTAAATATACTTATTTAGGGAAATGACAATGGGGACAACATCCGCCTTACTCCCCCCCCCACTCCCAACTTCTCCCCCCCTCCAGGCCCCCCCTGGTCCGGCTGCCCCCCCCTCAAGCCCCCTCCTTTGAACCCTCTCACCTATTCAGGAAAGACCCCCCCCGACCCTCTTTCCTCTCTCCCTCGCCTCTTTACCGTAGGTCTCGGACATGGCTGGGCCGGCGGGGAGCTGAGGGGGAGGCGGCCCCTCCTCTCCTCCTCCTTCCTCTCCTCTTCCACCGCCTTCTTCTTCTTCTTCCTCTTCTTCTTCTTCTTCCTCTCCTTCTTCCTGCCCGGAGCCTGGAAAGCGCTTCGCGCAATATGGCGGCGCCCAGCCGCTTCCGGGTTGTCGCGCTCTTATGGCGTCTTCCTCCTCCGGCGGAGCTTTACAGCGTCAAGCGGCCATGGCGGGCGTCGACGGCGCAAGCGAGCCACGCCCCTCCTCTCCCCTTTCCCGCGCGCGGCTGGAGCGAGAGCGCCCCCTGGCGACGCGGCGACCGAAGTGCAGCCCTGAGCGGATGGATGAATGAATGGCTGGCGCGGGCTCCTTCCGTTTTCGGCTTTTATTTTGCAATGTGTTATAAAAGCGGGCGGAGCAGTGATGACGATGGACAAAGTTTAAAATGTGGAAAACAAGAAGAACGCATGTTTAAAGAAGATTGGAAAACGTTTATTGACTATATGGGGGGTGTTTGTGTACATTTGAAAACGTCGGCAGCATTAAGATAAATTCAGCAGTGTGAATAAGTTGTGATGGGTGTAATAATGGAATACTGAATGGTTTGGTTTATATATAATATGAGGGGATTTATGTTATGCAAAATGAACCATGGAAAGAAAAGAAGGGAAGCAATTGAGATTTTAAGGTTGTTTAAATGAATATTTTAAATTGTAAAACAGAAATGTGTGTGTGTGTAAAACTGTTACGGATGGAAAACAAAACCTATAAAATAAAATGAGTGCAGCTTCAGGTTGGTTGAAGTAACAAAGTCCAAATAAAAGAATACAGCGGTACCTCTGGATGCGAACGGGATCCGTTCTGGAGCCCCGTTCGCATCCTGAAGAGAACGTAAGACGCGACTGTGCATGCGTGGGTCGCCCTTTGCTGCTTCCATGCATGCACATGACGGCACTTTTGAGTTTATGATGTGCAGGGGCAGGCAGAGGCCCGGGGCAGGTGGATAATGTGCCCCCCCTTTTTTTTACCCTGGGGGTAACTGAAGTCTTATAAATAATTATGTAAATAATTTTCACAAAAGTTATGCTGACGAATAATTTTATTTCAAGGCTTGAACCTGCATATAAAGACAAAATGGAAAATATAGATAAATATTCTGACCGAGGCCCCCATTTGGAATTGGAGGCCCGGGACAAGTGGCCCATATGCCCCCCCCCCCCGTCTGGGCCTGAGGATGTGTTCAAATTGATTGCTTGATTTTATGGTAATAAGTTATATATTTGATGTTGATGTCTGAGCCCGGTTTTGGCCGGGGAGGGCGGGGTATAAATAAAATTTACTATTATTATTATTATTATTATTATCCCAGAGGTTGTGTATCACCTTCAATGGCCTTATCCTCTGGGAATCTGGAGAAGGAAGCTGCCTCTGAGCGTACACAAAGCGGCTTTCCTCCAGATTGGATTCAACACATCCCTCCCTCTGTGGACTTCCAAGTCAAGGGGTACTTTTTCCGCAAGGAGCGTGCCCCCGGTAGCAGGCGCATCGCAGCGGGTTGGGCTAGATGACCCGCAGGGTCCCTTCCAGTTTCATGATTCTATGGGGGAAACTCGCCGGCTTGCAGTGCCCACTTCCTGCAGGAGGTGGTAGCCTTGAGTTAGCTTTGCGTAATAAATTGGGTCAGGAACCTGCCTGGAGGTCCCAGGAAGAAACAGCCACCGGTTGCTCCATCCCCTGTTGCGAAAGCCGGAGAGGCCTGGAGCCAAAGACGGAGTGTTTTTCTCTTTTTGTAACACCAGGGCAGGAACTTCTCTGCGCTTGCAGAGCGTGGGGGTTCTTCTGGGGCTTGCTGCACCCTTCCCCACTTCATTCTCCTTTCTGGGACTCCCAGAAAGGCTCTTTCCCAATTTCTCTCCCAGCTCTGCAAATCCCTGCGTTGCAAGGCCCTTGGGCTCCCTCCTGATTCCGTGGTTCTTGGTTTCGGGTCCAGAACTGGCCTACAAGAACCAGCACATGTCCAGGAAAATGTTTTCAGTGCCCAATATGAGTGGGGTGAAATGCAAAGTAAAAAACGAAGAAAGGACCCCTGAGCATGGGCAGAGATCCATCAGCACCATGCAAATGCAAGCTGCTCACCTGGACCTGGAATTAAGAGCCTCAAAGAGCAGAGCTGGACTTGCTAACTGCCTCAGATCCCGCCTCTGTCTTGAGGAAATCGAGTCCTGTCCAGAACATACCAAGAGTGCCTCTGAGCTGCTGCAGAATGCCTTTCCCTTTCATCTTTCCAAGCAATCCGCACACACCTGGGATTCAGGGACAGAGTTCTCCAGGTCATCAGAGGGCCTGCCTGCATTATTATTCCAGCTTCTTTTCCTGCAGGGGTAGCCAACAGGGCGCCCACGGGTGCAAGGGCACCCTCATGGCCTTTCCCAGATGCCCACAAAGCCACTGGCATGTGGGGGGGGGGCAAGGACTGTACAGACAGAGAAACCACAAGACTACCCGGATTGTCTCCAGATTAGGCGCACACATCTGTAGGCACATACCATCCCGCGATTCAATCTAGTTTGTGAAGAAAATTCCCTAATCCGGATCCACGGGCGACTTTGGGTCCTTTCTCTATTTTAAAGTTTTAATGTGTTTATATGCCTTTTGCACTTCTAAACTTAAAATCCATTGTTGTATATTGTTTTAAATGTTTGTTTTGCAGTTGCGATTGTATTTCTGTTTGTGTTTCTCAAGGTGGTCTCTGACCATGATAAATTTCATGTTCATGATAGAGAAAGGGGAAAGTTTTAGTAGGTCCGAATTCCACCCAGATCCTTTGGGGATGGTGGGGTTGAAACTCACGTGCTCATGAGCCTAACAAGACAGTCAGGGCCCTTGCGTTGCTGTCCTGGTTGGCAAAAAGTGTGATGCAACAGCAAAACAAGCGAAGGCTATTCTCGACTGCATGCACAGAATCGAGTGTCCAGATCAAGGGAAGTCTTAGTCCTGCTCTCTTCTCCCTTGGTCAGGCCCGGCACTCATCCTGCCCCCCAGGATGGCCAACCCACAGCACATCCGGGCAGCTGGCCAGACAGAAGCATGCCAGGTCTGGTGCCACAGCACTGAGCCACCGTGTGCCACCAGGAGAAGCCAGCCTGCAAGAGCGCACACCCTTCCCTCTGTGTCCCGGGGGGTCCTGCCCATCTCTGGGGGCTCCAACCAGACCAGGAGCACACCCTGGAGCGCAAACGAGTCGCTGGCCCCGATCCAGAGCCTCTTCCCAAAGACGGGCAAATGGGCAGAGCCTCCTCCAGAGACCGGCGGACAAAGAACTGGCTCGGTTGCTCTTGCCAACTTGATCACAAGGAAGCGGGTTGACCCAGCCAAAGCCTGGCACCGGGAGGAGGAACAGCTAATCCCTCTCACCCGACCTGGGAGGGAGAGGACCCACAGGGAGACTGGGATGGCTGGCTCCTCTGACGCCCTCCCTGCAGGCAGGGAAAGGCCCTTGGAGCTGGAGGAGAGGGCAGCCTGGGGCTCTGGTGCCCTGTGAAATCCGCGGCTGATTCATGCTTGGAGCTGGTCTGGCGCTGATGCCCCTGTGGCGTAAGGGCATCCTAAGAGCCTGCCTGCTGGATCAGGCCAAGGGCCCACCTGGTTCTGCCTCCTCCCCTGTGAATTTGTTCAATCCTCTTCTAAAGACATCCAAGTTGGTTCTCATCCCTGCCTCCTGTGGGAAGGAGTTCCACAGATTAACCCTGGACTGCTCGAATAAAGACTTTTATCTGTCCTGAATGTTCACTGGGTGCCCACGAGTTTTGGGTTACAAGAAAAACTGTTCTCCATGCCCTCCTCCCCTCTGCAAGGTGAAGCAGTGACATCACCTTGCCAACAAAGGTCCGTATAGTAAAAGCTATGGTTTTCCCAGTCGTGATGTATGGAAGTGAGAGCTGGACCATAAAGAAGGCTGATCGCCGAAGAACAGATGCTTTTGAATTCTGGTGCTGGAGGAAACTCTTGAGAGTCCCATGGACTGCAAGAAGTTAAAACTGATCTATTCTGAAGGAAATCAGCCCTGAGTGCTCACTGGAAGGACAGATCCTGAAGCTGAGGCTCCAAGACTTTGGCCACCTCATGAGAAGAGAAGACTCCCTGGAAAAGACCCTGATGTTGGGAAAGATGGAGGGCACAAGGAGAAGGGGACGACAGGACGAGATGGTGGGACAGTGTTCTCGAAGCTACGAACATGAGTTTGACCAAGCTGCGGGAGGCAGTGGAAGACAGGAGTGCCTGGCGTGCTCTGGTCCAGGGGGTCACGAAGAGTCGGACACGACTAAAAAACAACAATGCCCTCCCCCCAGGCATATTCTGAAAAACCTTTTGCCTTTTAGCTCTTCTCCAAACTACAAAGTCCCAAATGCTGCCACAGCAACTCCCTCCCTTGCTTGATCATGTTCGAAACCTTTTCCAGCTCTTCGATCTCCGTTTTGAGACGAGGCACCCAGAACCAGGCACAGGACTGCCAATGCCGTCGTGGCATAGATGCATCCGTTTTATTCCCAATTCCTTTGCGAGGATCCCCAGCGTGGAATTTGCCTCTCTTTTTTTTTCACAGCCCCCACCCATGCGGCCGACCTCTCCATCTGTCTTGGACGCATTTCTGCATTGCGGGGGCTTAGACTAGATGTCGCTTCCAAGCCTGCAATTCTGTGGCTCCAGGATCTTAGCTTTCGAAGAGCCCAAGGTGCGTCCAGGGCACCCCTAATGGCACAACTTAGCAAACCCTTTTCCGTGCCCACTTTAAAGGCAACCCAACTGCTCCCCCCACCCCAAGTTTTTCCTCTCTCCTCCATCTCTCTCCCTCCCCCCCCGCCCCGCCATGCAAGCCCCTACACGCCCTCCCTGCGAGGCCCACAGGTAGGGGGGCGGGCGAGGCCAAGCTGAGCGCCAGCTCCAGCAGGAACAGTCTGTCCTTGCCAAGCCGGCAGCCGCCCCCTGCGGGTGCTGATGGGCAGGGAGGGTGCAGCTTGGGCCCTTCCTCCTCCTCCTCCTCCTGCCCCCCCCCATATCAAGTTAGATCCTGCAGCAGGGTGGGGCCAGGCAAGGAGCCTGCCAACCCTGTAGCATGAGGGCAGGGAGAGGACCCAGGAGTCCGGGAGAGGACCCAGGAGTCCGGGAGAGGACCCAGGAGTCCTGCAGCTGCAGCCGCTCCAGAACCCAGGAATTGGAATCTAGTCGAACCCCCGCCTGGCAGGAAGGAGGCCTCAGGCCAAGAGAATGTGAGGCTGAGGAAAGGGGGGCGCTCCAGGGGACCCAAGCTGGTTGCCCCCCCCAACATGGCTGATCATCGCCTAGACTGGCCCCCCTCTCTTTGCAGGCTCTGACCAGGTTGTAGCACCCCCAGGGCAGGTGTCTGCTTGCCTCCAACTGGCTGCGGTTGAGTGGCGAGGCAAGTGCACTCCGCACACGCTCAGAGGCACTCACATTTTCTTTCCGTGCCGCGTTATACTGTCCAACCGGTTTGTAACCCACGGGATGAAGGATGGCAAAGTGAAGGCTGGCATCGCTGAGCCCCGCTTCCAGTTGAAATGCGATTGCTGCATTTTGAGGGGGCTGGACTAGATGGCTCTTGGAGGTACCCTCCTGACTCTACCATCCGACGAGTCTAAACTCTAATGCCAAGGTTGCCCTCTTTAATAACGGGGCGAGGAAGGAGATCCGGGCCCGCCTGCAGCTTGCCCTGCCTCATCATCAAGAGATGCACTCTGCACATGCTCAGGGGGAAGGGCACACCCCTTAGGGCAAAGTCCCAAGGACTCCTGGGCCTCATCCAGCGCCCGCTGGCAGGCCGGGCTGTGTGCCAGCAGGCCGCCTTTGATGCCCCGATAAGATGGCGGCAGCTGGGCAGGTTGCAGCAGGGGAGGGAAGGTGCCAGGGGTGGCGGGCAAGAGGCAGGCGGGCACCCAAGAAGCGCTGGCTGCCCTCGCCAAAGAGGAGGAGGCCTGCAGGCTCTCAGCCTCCCTCTGCCCCACAGAGCAGGGTGGGGCAGCTGCCAGGTTGTGGGCCTGGAGCCCAGGCTCCGGAAAACCCCCAGGAAGAGGTGAGGGAGGCAGGCAGGAGCGAAGCAGGAGGTGAAGAAGGAAAGAAAGAGAGGGAGAGAGAGAAAGAAAGAAAGAAAGAAAGAAAGAGGGGAGGGAGGGAAGGAAGGAAGGAAGGAAGGAAGGAAGGGAGAGGGAGGGAAGGAAGGGAGAGGGAGGGAGGGTGGAAGAGGGAGGGAAGGAAGGAAGGAAGGAAGGAAGGAAGGAAGGAAGGAAGGGGGAGAGAAGGAAGGAAGGAAGGAAGGGGGAGAGAAGGAAGGAAGAAGGGAGGGAGGAAGGAACGAAGGAAGGAAGGGGGAGGGAAGGAAGGAAGGAAGGAAGGAAGGAAGGGGGAGGGAAGGAAGGAAGGAAGGAAGGAAGGAAGGGGGAGGGAAGGAAGGAAGGAACGAAGGAAGGGGGAGGGAAGGAAGGAAGGAAGGAAGGAAGGAAGGAAGGAAGGAAGAGTTCTGGCTTCCAGCTCCCTCAGAAGGTGGTGCAATCTCCTTCCTTGGAGGTTTTTAAGCAGAGGTTGGATGGCCATCGGTCAGGGATTCTTCAGCTGAGATTCCTGCATTGCAGGGGGTTGGGCTGGATGACCCCTGGGTGCCCCTTCCAACTCTACAATTCCATGCATGTCTATCAAAAGGCGGTGCCTAAGCCAGGAGGGAGGAGAAAGGCAGACAGGCCTGCCAGCCTCCCAGGTTTCTGTTCCCTTCTTACCCCTTTTCCGGCTGCTTCCCCCAATTGCCTGGCCTTGAACAGAGTCTCCCAGCCGAAGATTCTGCCTCAGGGGGCAGGAAAAGCAACTTCTCAGAGGAGCCCCAGCGGAGAACAGGGCGCAAGCGAGGCTGACATGTCCGCTGCCTGTCCTGTTAATATTAACTGGTCCAGGCTTGCCACGAAGGCCAAAGTGCAGCCCAGGGAACACGCAGAGCTGCGCCTTTAAAGCTCAGGCGCCTCTGAGCATGTGCAGAGTACATTTTCCCTAGTCACTGAATTAGCTGGAGCAGAGGGCAGCTGAGATGGCAGGGGACAGCAGTGCCCCCCTCTCCGGAGGTTCTTGGGACTCCAGCTCCCATCAGCCCCAGTGGTCAAGGATGATGGGACTTGTGGTCCAGACACATCCGGAGGGCACAACGTTGGCAACCTCTGGGTTAGAACCATCGCCTCTGTCTCTGGGATTTGGAGAGAGGGGCGAAAGGGGGCGCTCTGTCTGGAAGGGGGTCATATTGAAAGGGGAACCGTGACAAAACATTGGGGGGGGGGGAGTGGGGGCTACTGGGGAATCACAGAGACAGAAACGGGGCCCAGGACATAGACACAAAATCCATCTCTTTATCACAGATAAGACATTGAAGGGGGTCAGACTAGATGGCCCATGGGGTCCCACCAACTCTGGCCCAAGTCATGCTGCCTCTAGCTGAATGAGGGACAATCCCCTCTTCTGCTCCAAAGGAAACAAAAATACATCTTTTCTCACTGTTCATTTATTGCATTTCTGCCCCAACTTTTCCTCCACGAGGCTTCAGGTGGAGCATGTGATTCTCTTCCTGCCCCGCCCCCCATTTTTTGGGGGGGGTGAAACCCCAAGTCCCTTTCCTCCCTTCCGCCTCTGACCCACATGGGGGGGGGGACCAGACCCAAGGCAGGCATTCACACAGGAGAAGAAAGTAAACAGCTTATTTTTAATCGAAGGAAAATACTTCAAAGGGATCTCCCCCCCCCCACCACTCACAAAAAAAGTCAGAAATGCTCCTGTGCAAATGCAACCTAGATATTTTTCTTGCGGGGGGGGGGAGGCTGTTCTCTGACCCCCCCAAGAAAGAAAAGCAGCGACACACATTTCATCTCTGCGGTGCAGCAAAATGGAAAACCCGTCACCTTTTGTAATTTTCCAAATTCCTGTATGTGTGTGGGGTGGTATTTTTTTTTTGGGGGGGGGAGGCGATTGCACTGAGAACTACAAAGCAGACTTCCCCCCCCTCCCCTTTGCAGCCAGGAGGCTGGAGAATTCAAGCTTGCAAAAAAAAACAAAAACTGCTTTTCAGGAAGGACACAGGTGGAGGAGAAACAGGAAATGGGAAAAAAGAGAAAACAGCTCCCAATTCCCAGGATTTGATTTTATTTTTTCCCCATGGAAAGAGAAATGAAGGGGAAGGAGGGAAAGTTTTGCAGGTTCCCTGCAAGGCAAAGGGAACGAGGACCTGGAAAGAGAAAATGGGCAGGTGGGGGAATTCCCCCCCCCAAAAAAAAGCACATTTCCACCTGCCTCCTTGCAAGGGGGGGGGCAACAGGGCTCAGACGTCAGGTTGTCTCACAGGATTTTATTGGGGGCGCAACTTGGGGTTTTATTATTAATTCTTTTCTTGCCTCTCCATCCCACTCTATCCAAGGTTACTTGGTTCTCCCAATCCTCATTTAATCCCTGCAACAGCAACTCTGTGAGGTAGGTCAGGCTGTGAGAGGCGGTGGCTGAGCCCCAACGTCACACCTGGGGAGCTTCGTGGCCCAGTGGGGATTCGAACCCTGGTCCTAGTCTGACCATGCTGCCTGGGTCAGACCAAATACAGTCATGGCTCGGGTTACAGATGCTTCAGGTTGCGTTTTTTCAGGTTACGGACCACCGCAACCCGGAAGTACCGGAACGGGTTACTTCCGGGTTTTGGCGGCGCACATGCGCAGAAGCGCTAAATCGCACTTTGCGCATGCGCAGAATCGCTGAAGGGTTGCGAACGCTGCAGGTTGCGAATGTGCATCCCGCACAGATCACATTCGCAACCCGAGCGTCCACTGTACACACACACACACACACTGCAGTTTCAAGGCCTGGGTTTCGTCTCAGGGGAAAGGCACAAATGGCGTAAAAAAAACCACTCTACAACTTTTCGTTTTCAGAAACTTTCCCCCCACCCGAAATATTCTCCTTCCGAAACCAAGAACCAAAGTTTGCTGTGCTTGCTGCACTGCAGGGGCTTGGGACTAGGTGGCCCTTGGGGGGGGGGGACGTTCTCTTCCAACTCTACAAAATTTTCAGTGGTTTAAAAAATGTCACCCCATCTCACACTTCTGCAAGTAAACCCCCACTCTGGGCAAGGGGCTGCTCCATCGCGCTCTCAGCTAAACCACATGCAGAAGTTTTGTTTTTGGGGATGGGGAGGCCGAGCTTCCAGCCACAGCCTCCTCAAAGCATCTGCCCCCAACCTGCTCCCATCTCCCCAGAGATATCAGGGTCTACAAATATTTGGCCCTTCTCAGTGGGGCTGGGAGCTGAAGGTCCCAAATCCCAAGGTGGGGGGGAAGCGCAAGAACATTAGAAGAGCCCAGCTGCTGGATCAGGCCCAAAGGGGACCCATCTAGTCCAGCCACACAGGGGCCAAATACCCCATAAAACCTAAGAATTCTTCAGATAGACTGCCTCTGGAGCTGGAGGTCCCATGAAAACGTTTAGAAGCTTGGCTGCTGCATCAGGCCAGTGGCCCATAAAGTCCAGTTCTCACGGTAGCCAAATACCCCCACAGAACTTAAGAATCCAGATAGACTGCCTCTGGGGCTGGAGGTTCCACAAGAGCATGAGAAGATCAAGTCAATGGTCCAGCCTCCTGTTCTCACATGCCCCAAAGGGAGACCAGCAACCGGGACCCAAACGCAGCCGTTGAGAAGCATCCGCTCTCTCAAGCCTTGCTGGCAGAGCGTCCCTAAACGAAAGCCCGGCCACGTCCCTCTCGGAGACGAGGAAACGTCTTTGGGATCCGTTTCGAGATCTGTTTGGCCCTGCCGAGATTCCGCCCGACGTCCCTGCGAGGAAGGCCGGCCCGGCCTGGCCCCTCTCGAAAGCCTACACCCCTCAGTTGGTCCAGTCTGCAGGCAAACCCATTGGAAGGGGTCAGGCCATGCGGGAATCGCCCAGCGCTATGACAGGCAGACATGCTTCCTCCACCAGGCCTTGGAGAGGGTCCGGATGCGGCTGGCGGTGCTACGTCGCTGCAGCTTGGGCGGGGGGCCGCGGGCACAGCGCAGCCCTGCGGTAATGGCCGTGTCAAAGACCTCCTTCAGGTTGTGCTGGGTGAGAGCCGAGCACTCCACATAGCCCAGCAAGCCGGCTTTGGCGGAGAGGGTGCGGGCGGCCGAGGGGGACACGGGCTTCTCCCGGTGTCGGGACAGGGCGATGAGGACCTTGACGTCCTGGCGCAGGTCCGACTGGGTGCCTACCAGCAGGACGGGCGTGGCGGGGCAGTGGCGGCGCAATTCGGGGAGCCACTTATCGGAGATGTTCTGGAACGAGGTGGGAGACACGACGCTGAAGCAGAGCAGGACCACGTCCGCCTTCGGGTAGCAGAGGCGCCGCAGGCTGTCAAACTCGTCCTGTGAGGGGCAAAGGGGAGGCCGTGAGGAGGGAAAGAGGGGCGCCCTACAAGCTGGGGTCCCTGCAGGCACCAAACCAGGGAACCGCAGAGCTGGAAGGGGTCCTCCAGGGGTCATCTAGACCAACCCCCCACAACGCGGCAGGAATCGCCACTCAAGAATCCGTGGCAGGCGGCCAGGCAACCTCTGTTTAAAGTGCTCCAATGAATCAGAAAACGATGACCCTCGCTGATTCTAACTGCAGGGCTGGGAGGGGGCCCCTGGCGGGCATCTAGGCCAACCCCCTTCTAGGGAGTAAGGGCAGCTTCCAACATATATGCAAACATAGGTAAAGGTAAAGGGACCCCTGACCGCTAGGTCCAGTCGTGGCCGACTCTGGGGTTGCGGCGCTCATCTCGCTTTATTGGCCGAGGGAGCCAGCGTACAGCTTCCGGGTCATGTGGCCAGCAGGACTAAGCCGCTTCCGGCGAACCAGAGCAGCGCACGGAAATGCCGTTTACCTTCCCGCCGGAGCGGTACCTATTTATCTACTTGCACTTTGACGTGCTTTCGAACTGCTAGGTTGGCAGGAGCAGGGACCGAGCAATGGGAGCTCACCCTGTCGCAGGGATTCGAACCCCGACCTTCTGATCGGCAAGTCCTAGGCTTTGTGGTTTAACCCACAGCGCCACCCGCGTCCCCATCAGTTCGCCAGAAGCGGCTTAGTCATGTTGGCCACATGACCCGGAAGCTGTACGCCGGCTCCCTCGGCCAATAAAGCGAGATGAGCGCCGCAACCCCAGAGTCTGCCACGACTGGACCTGATGGTCAGGGGTCCCTTTACCCTTAAGCCATATTGATTTGTATGCCGTTGGTGGATTTTTGTCATTGTCTTGTTGGGCTGTGTGTGTGATAAAGGGGAGCCATACCAGGGTGAAGGCGTCTTCTTCTATTTGTCCCCGTGTCACTTTCAGTTTATTGGTTAATTTTTCTAGTAGGGCTGTTTCCCATACTATTTGGCACCATTGGTCCATGCTTCCTCCTGACAGTTCTCTCCAGTGTCTGGTTATGGTGTTTCTGGCTGCTGAAAGTAGGTGGGTTATGAGTGCTTTGTGGTGTAAGTGGGCATTATTGTCTTGGAAGATGTTTAGCAATGCCAGTTCTGGGGTGGTTTCTAATACTTGTTTGGTTATTTTACTTATTTCTCGTATGGCTGTTGTCTAGAATAGTTAGATTTTGGGGCACTCCCACCACATGTGGAGGTATGTGCCTGTGGAGGTACACCCTCTCCAGCATTTTGGTGAGGTTCCTGGGCGTATTAGCCCTAGTTTTCTTGGTGTTAGGTACCACCTGTAGGTGAGTTTCAGAGTGAGTTCTTCTCTTTTTGTTGATATGGATTTAAAGGGGGGTTTAGACCACATTTTGGGATGCGGGTGGCGCTGTGAGTTAAACCACAGAGCCTAGGACTTGCTGAAAAGAAGGTCAGTGGTTCGAATCCCCGCGATGGTGTGAGCTCCCGTTGCTCTGTCCCTGTTCCTGCCAACCTAGCACTTCGAAAGCAGGTCAAAGTGCAAGTAGATAAATAGGTACCGCTCCGGCGGGAAGGTAAACGGCGTTTCCGTGCACTGCTCTGGTTTACCAGAAGCGGATTAGTCATGCTGGCCACATGACCCGGAAGCTGTACGCCGGCTCCCTCGGCCAATAAAGCGAGATGAGCGCCGCAACCCCTGAGTCGGCCACGACTGGACCTAATGGTCAGGGGTCCCTTTACCTTTACCTAGACCACATTTTGGTCCATTGAGTGGGGTTAATCTCATAGCCTATGTTATCCTCCCATTGTTTTTTGATTGCGTCTAAGGAGTTTGTGGGATTTTGTAGTAGTATTTTGTATACTGCGGATACCATCCCTTTACCGTGTCCCTTTGTTGCTAGAAGGAGGTTTTCGAAGGTTGTCAGGGGCCTAGTTGCTGCTGATTTTACTGCTGGGTTGTTTACGAAGGCATGTAATTGGTGATGTTTTAACCAGGGAATTTGGGTGTCTTCTAGTTTGTTTTATATTTCTTGTGTTGACAAAGGTTTGTTATTTTTTTGTAGAAGTAAAAATTAAGCAATATGTCTATTTCAAAGGCAAATTGCAATCACAACCAGAATGGATCAATATCTACGTGTCTGTATTAGGACCCCGGACACCAGAGCCGACCCTCCTCAGTTTCCCCACAAGCCAGATTCGGGAGGCGCAAAGAGATTTGGGAGGCGCAAAGAAGGGCCCCAAATAAATGTGGCCCCGCAAAGCCCAGCTGCGCCTCTCGCCTCCGGGACACCTTTGCCCTTACAGGTTGCGGGGAGGGGAAGCCAGCTGTGCCGTTTACGGAGGGGAAAGCGGTTCAGCGGCAGGCTTGCAACCCTCGGGAATAGATTTGAGAAAGCAAGTTGCTAGACCTCAAGAAGGCCCAAGGGACAGTTAGGAAGGGCCAGGTCAAAGTGCCAAGTCCAGGTCAGTCTCTAGCCCATCCCGTCCGGCCTCCTTACCTGCCCTGCGGTGTCGCACAGCTGCAGCCGGATGGGGTCTCCGTCAACCTGCACCACAGCTGGGGGGCGAAACAGAAAAACGGGGGGTCAGAGTTGGGAAGGAAGACAGACCCAGCCGCCCCAGATCAAGACACGGCATCAGGGATTTCACTCGCCCAGAGGTGGAAGTCAGAGCCCAGCTCCTTCCTGCTCAGTCTCCCTGGCACTGGAGGCGGAAGGGACCTCCAAAGGTCATCCAGCCCAACCCCATGGAACACAAGGGTTGTAGCTCAAGGATCCCTGGCAGAAGGAGAACTGTGGTTCTTGACAGACTCCTTTAAAGACTCCCCCCAGGGTCATCTAGCCTAGTGGCTGATATTGATTTCTTTTTTTGGTGACTCCGCCGGGACTTGAACCTGGAACAGAGGCTGATATTGATGAATGGGAAGGAGAGAGACAATTCCCCTTAATACATAGCTGGAGAAGCAGACTCTCTTTGGGTAAATATAATTCTATCTGGAATGAGTTTATGCAGAATATATTAGCTTACTGGTAATTATTTGTAATATACACCCCTGCAAATTAATGGATGGTGACAGTATTTTCTTCTTCTTTTTCATTCCCACTCACTCTTTAATCCCCCACCCCCGGTCATCCCTTTACGAATGAAGTTATTTTAATAAAATACTTATAATAATAATAAAATTCTAGCCCAACTCCTGCAGTGCAGGGAGCACAACTCAATAATCCCCGACCCATTCTCCGTTGCAAAACCTCTGTTATTCACTGCGTCGTAGTTTGGGAGGCACCCCAGCGATCATATAGGCCAACCCCCAACCACTTTTATACTTATTTAATATTATTATTCTGACGTCATTTGTTTCGTTTGCATTCCCCCCGCGTCATCCGTAGATCTCCTCCGGCAGCGTTCGCTCAGACTGAGGCTACTCTGGTGAAATGAAAGTTTGTCTTTCGCCAGGTAGGAACTAGGAAAGGAAAACTCGGATGCGGTTGACTCCAGGCCTGCAAATTCTTTCCTGGCAGAACGAGGAAAGCAGGAAGAGGCTCTTGCCGGGGTCTCCCGTGAAAAAGACTTTGCAGGAGCCCCTGCAAACCGGGCTCCGGGCAGGGCCTCTCTATGGGGAGCAGATAACCTGCAACGTTGGCGATGCCCTCTGGCTGTTGAGCAGGCATCGCACTGAGCACTAGCCACGCCCCATGTAGAATCACAGACCTGCTCGGTTGGTTAGGGGACCCCCAAAGGTCATCCATCCCAACCCCCTGCAATGGCAGCTGAAGAATGACCTCCGCGGATAAAAAAACAAAACCTCCCGGGAACCAGTGTCGTCGTTGCTCTTCCTTGTCCCCGCAGAGCGGGAAGGGCACCCCCAAAGGTCATCCATCCCAACCCACCCCCGCGCATCGCTCGCGTACCGGAGAAGCGGTCGAGGGCGGTGGGGACGTATCGCGCGGGGAAGCCGTTGGTGCTGTAGCTGAGCGCCAGGCTGGTTTTCCCGACGGCGCCGTCGCCCAGCAGGACGCACTCGAGGCCCCGCAGGCGCCGCTGCTCGCGGGGGCGGCGCGGGGGCACCGGCGGGAGAGACTCGCCCTGCGGAGGCATCGCGGGGTCCCCTCGCAGGAAAGCGCGCGGGCGGACGGACGACGGGCGGGGAGGCGGCGGCGGCAGCGGACGCTCCTTCCAGGCTGTGCGCCCGGGCGCAGGCAGGCAGGCAGGGAGTGGAGCGCCTCGTCGGGGCCACGCCTCCCCGCCCAGGAGGACACGCCCCTTTGCGGGGGCGGGGTCTGTACCTGCCCCCTTACCTCGCGGCAGCCTCCGCCCTCGACGGGGAGGGCGGCGAGCCCCCTCCCCAGCCTAGATCCCACATGGAACAGGGGTGGGACTAGATGACCGTCGGGGGTCCCCTTCCCAGGACTCCTCGATTCTATGAACCCCCTTCAGGCGGCTCGAGGGACGGGATTCCTCAGGAAATCACAGGATCGTCGAGGGGGTGGGGACCCCCGAGGTCATCCAGTCTCACCCTCCCTGCCATGCGTAAAGGGCGGCGCTGTGGGCTGAAGCCAGGCTCCCTGCCCCCTCCTGCAACCCCCCCCCACACACACACATTCCCTGCTTTGTCTCTCTGAAATGGAAAACATGTCCTTCCTGACAATGTGTTTCTTTCCTGCTTTGCGCATCAGACAGTAGCCGGGAAAAGCACCCCCGACGCCCTGGACGGCGCATCCCAGCGAAAACAGGAAACACACCCGAGGCGTTACTGGAAATTGGGAAGCTGGGGGGCGGGGGGCAGGAGGTCCTCCGGTCCAAAACACTTTGTGCACGACCCCCTGGCGCCAACGCACCCCCCCCCTGCAAGGCTGGACGTGGCCCCTTTCCCCCAGAGTTCACACCAGCCTTGGCCAAGCCGGGTTAACAATCTTGTTGGTAAGATTGGAAGGTTCCGGATAAATTGAAAGGACGGGCTTCTTTACGCAGCGCAGAGTTAAACGGCGGAACTCCCTCCCACAAGAGGCCGGAGGGGGGGGGGACTTTGATGGCTTTGAAAGAGGAATGGGAAAATTCATGAAGGACTCGGCTCTGCCTCGCCAGCTTAATCCTTGACCCTGGGCTTCCCCTGACGCGTAATTGCGCTTGGATCCAGCCTTGGCGCTTCCCTTGGGGCCCCTGTGAGAACATGAGCCTGGACCGGGGGGGTGCGGGGGGGCACTGTCCTGATCCGGCAGGCTCCTGTTCTTAGCCCAGGCGCCTTCTTCCGTGTGGGGTGGGCACTCGCCTGGCCCTGGCGCCGCCTGCGCTCCCGGATCCTGCCTAACCGGTTTGGCCGGCAGCAAGAGTAGAAAGCAGGGTGGACCCAGCCGGCCAGCCTAGGACATTGGCACCGGGGCCCTGAAAGCGGGTCTGATCCAGATGCCGAGGCAGACGAGACCTCCGTCCTGTCCCTCGCCTGTGCCCCGTCGAGGGAGGCAGGTGGCAGACAGTCCAGGGGGGTCCCCCTCCAAAGAGGGGTGCCAAACCACCTTCTCCTCTTCCAGCTGCTCCTTGGCCACCGAACGAGAAGGTGCCTCCATCACAGCTGCCCACCTTGGCCCCACCCAGGACCAGATGAGCCAAACTCTGTCTGTCCAGGGGTTGGGGGCAATAGGCTCCAGCACATTTGGGGTCTTCCGTCTCTGAGGTCCAGGCAGCCGGAGGAGTACCGTGAGGGGTGGGGTCAGCGAATCCTAACTTAGTAAAGGTAAAGGGACCCCTGACCATTAGGTCCAGTCGTGGCCGACTCGGGGGTTGCGGCGCTCATCTCGCTTTATTGGCCGAGGGAGCTGGCGTACAGCTTCCGGGTCATGTGGCCAGCATGACTAAGCCGCTTCTGGCAAACCAGAGCAGCGCACAGAAACACTGTTTGCCTTCCTGCCAGAGCAGTACCTATTTATCTACTTGCACTTTGATGTGCTTTCAAACTGCTAGGTTGGCAGGAGCTGGGAATGAGTAACGGGAGCTCACCCCGTCGCGGGGATTCGAACCGCCGACCTTCTGATCGGCAAGTCCTAGGCTCTGTGGTTTAACCCACAGCACCACCCGAAAGGTGCTGGGGCTCAAGGCTGCTTGGCCCCCGCCCCTTCCGCCAGGGCCCTCTGTTCCCTCAGCCAGGTTTTTGGACATCCTGCATTCCTAGCTCAGTGGGAGGGCGTCTGCTTGGGGTTCGACTAGATGAGCCTTGAGGGTCCCTTCCGACTCTGCCGTCCTATGATTCTGCTCTACGGCCTGGGGCAGCCTCACTCAGCAGGAAGGCTCCGGGTTTGGATCTCGCCTCTGCCAGTTGAAGGAGGAGAGGTGGGGGCCTGCCTTTCGGGGGGTTGTGAGGAGCCAGCTAAGGCACATTCGAAAATAACAATAATAATAATAATAATAATAATAATAATAATAATAATAATTATTATTTATTTATACCCGCCCATCTGGCTGGGCTTCCCCAGCCACTCTGGGCGGCTTTCAACAAAAAGACCTGGGAGATCGGGGTTCGAATTCTCGCTCTGTCATGAAGCTCACTGGGTCACCTTGGAGTCAGTCGCAGCCTCATAACCTCCCTCACAGGGTCGTTGTAGGGAGTTGTAACAATTCAAAGTGTTGGTGCTGACCTTGAAAGCCCTAAACGGCCTCGGTCCAGTATACCTGAAGGAGCGTCTCCACCCACATCGTTCTGCCCGGACACTGAGGTCCAACTCCAAGGGCCTTCTGGCGGTTCCCTCGCTGCGAGAAGCAAAGCTACAGGGAACCAGGCAGAGGGCCTTCCCGGTGGTGGCACCCGCCCTGTGGAACGCCCTCCGGGCAGATGTCAAAGAGAAAAATAACTACCAGACTTTTAGAAGACATCTGAAGGCAGCCCTGTTTAGGGAAGCTTTTAATGTTTAATAGGTTATTGTATTTTAATATTCTGATGGCTCAGGAAACCCAGCCAGATGGGGGGATTTAATATTATTATTATTATTATTATTATTATTATTATTATTATTATTATTATTAAAATACAGTAATGCATCAAACATTAAAAGCTTCCCTAAAGCGTTTGGCTCCAGGTTCCTTCTCTGAAGGCAGTCAGGTCATGGACACGGCGAAGGGTGTGTGTTTTCCTTTCGCTGGAGAAACTGGGAGCAGCTGGGTGTTCAGGCCGGGGCAAACAGGTTCAGAAGAGATCGAGCTTCCTAGTCCTCACCGTTTCCCACAGCTCCTCCCGGCCTGGCCCGGAATTGCCTAGGTAAATCAGGCACTCAGAGAGCGCAATGCCCTGAGCGAAAGGAGAACTCCCTCCTGCCAGCTATTGGAAACCATACTCGAGACCCAAGCCGCCTTGAACTGACCCACGTCTCCTCTCCCTGGGAAGACCCCACCCAAGCCCTGCCCCCCAGGAGGGCACTGGATGAGGGAGACCCACAGACCCCTGGCAACAGCCAAGAACCCCTGACCCTCCTGTTTTATTTTAAAATGAGAATAGGTTAGAGAATTGCAGAACTGCAGAGTTGGAAGGGACACCCAGGGTCATCTAGTCCAACCCCCTGCAATTCAGGAATCACAGGATTGGCATGTGGGAAGGGGGGAGCTGGTTGGAGTTGCCACCTGCTGGTGTGAGTGTCTGCGTTTTATCTCGGTTTCTTTATTGCAGGGGGAGTCTGAGCCTCACCACTTCTTCCTGTGAAATGGGTATTGTGCGCCACCCATGTCTGTGCTCCTGGCACCGAAAAGTGGGGGGGACCTCTACTCAAGGGGGTTGTGGGTGCAGGTGACGGCTAGCTAAAATAGTCAACAGAGACATTGGCAAGCTGGCACAGGTGCCACACAATGCCCCTTCCACATTTGTGCATTTTGGAACTCCCTGCCTCCTGACAAACGCTTTCACTACACTTTTTCCGGCCCCTGCTATAATAATAATAATAATAATAATAATAATAATAATAATAATAATAATATTAATATATTATTTATACCCCACCCATCTGGCTGAGTTTCCCCAGCCACTCTGGGAGGCTCCCAATCGAGTGTTAAAAACAATACATCATTAAATATTAAAAACTTCCCTAAACATGGCTGCCTTCAGATGTCTTTTAAAAATAACTACATATTTCCTTCACATCTGATGGGTGCCACCACCGAGAAGGCCCTCTGCCTGGTTCCCTGTAACTTGGCTTCTCGCAGCGAGGGAACCGCCAGAAGGCCCTCAGCACTGGACCTCAGTGTCCGGGCAGAACGATGGGAGTGGAGACGCTCCTTCAGGTCTACTGGGCCTTTGAGGCCATTTAGGGCTTTAAAGGCCAGCACCAACACTTTGAATTGTGCTCAGAAACGTCCTGGGAGCCAGTGTAGGTCTTTCAAGACCGGTGTTATATGGTCTCAGCGGCCGCTCCCAGTCACCAGTCTGGCTGCCGCATTCTGGATTAGTTGTAGTTTCCAGGTCACCTTCAAAGGGAGCCCCACGTAGAGCGCATTGCAGTAGTCCAAGCGGGGGATAACCAGAGCATGCACCACTCTGGCGAGACAGTCTGCAGGTAGGTGGGGTCTCAGCCGGCATACCAGATGGAGCTGGTGGACAGCTACCCTGGACACAGAATGGACCTGCGCCTCCATGGACCGCTGTGAGTCCAAAATGACTCCCAGGCTGCGCTCCTGGTCCTTCAGGGGCACAGTCACCCCATTCAGGACCTCTGCCTCTGCCCTGAGGCAGTGGCGTAGCGTGGGTTGTCAGCACCCGGGGCAAGGCAAGTAATTTGTGCCCCCTAACCCCTAACCTGCCGCCACTGCCAGCTTCTTCTTGCTGCTGCCTGGTCTGGTGTGGTTGTCTCCCGCGCTCAGCGCTGCACTGGGCGGCCGCTGCACTGTCCCTCCCCCAGATAGTCCCTCGCTCTCTCTCCGCACCGCACGCCTGGCACCCACCCCCTCCACAGTGGGCAGCGACCCAGCGGCTTGGAATCGGATTCGCACAGCCAGCACTGCAGTGAGAAAGAGTGAGTGAGCCAGGTAGGGGCAGAGAGCTGAGAGTGCGAGCGCACCCCCCTAGATGTTGCGCCCGCTGCGGCTGGCCCCCCCTGCACCCCCACGCTACGCCACTGCCCTGAGGTTTAGAAAGCTGACATTAGTCCCGATCTATTTTAAGTCTATTGTTATTTTATCACCAGCCTTTTCTCTTGTTATTGTTTCCTCTGTGTTTCTGCTTTTTTCCCACTCAATAAATGCACACCGCTCTGTGTCCCTGTGCCAGGACAGAGAAAACAGAGAGCTGTCTACCTTGGCACCTTCTGCCTGCCCCCCCCAATGCTTTTGTCCCTCTGGCACATGACCAGCCCCCCCCTTACTGCCCTGGGTCCCCCTCTGGTTCAAAGGCCAACCACCAGCCTCCTGCTTCTGTTAATCCCGTGGCGCCACGGACTTTGCTCACATGCGTCAGCTTGTGGAGCAGATAGCGATCTTTGGGAAGCTGAGAGGTGGGGCTGGAACAGGGGGGGCAGGGAGGAGAAGGAAGCCTCTGGACCCCCGCACCCCACAGGCAGTGGGGTGCGGGGGCATCCCAGTCAGGGGGCAGGGGCAATGCCAGCCTGATGGGGCCATGACACAACCACCTGAGAAACTGGCCGATTGTGCTGGCATTGTGGAGGCATTGGGGCAGCTGCTGTGACCCAGGCCTTCTGCCAAGGCCCAGGAACTGGGTCAAGGCAGCGGCTGGAGCCCGGGGGGGGGGCTCTGCCAGGCTGCGGAGGGGAGGCAAATTGCTGCCAAGCAGGGACAGAGTTGACCTACATTCCTAGGCAGAAAGGGCTCAGCTGGCACCTGCCCATGCCCAGCTCTGTGTTCTCTCCCCCAAGGCTATGGTTCGGCAAGGGCGGCAGACCGCAGCTCATTTCGGAGACTCAGCCTCGATGTGACCGCGGAGCATGCAGCGCTCCAGGTGGAAGAGCGCCTCTGAGCATGAGCAGAGCGCAATGATGGTAGGCGGACTCCCGAGTGCATCAGAAGAGCTGGCTGTTCAGGCTTGCAGCCAGCCTGTTTTGGGAAAGCTATTCAATAAACACACAAGACGTAACCGGCTGTACGTCTGAAAAAATAATATATCCTATTCATTGTATTGAATTGTTGATTTCAACGGAAGTAACTCAAAGCTCAACGAAAAAAGTAGAAGACCCAGTTGATCCGTTCATTCTCTAATCAGTTTTTGCATAAACTGTGGAACTGTAACAACCTTTTGTGTGGATTGTTGGACTTTATGAACAGACAGGTGGAATAGACACTTGCACATATATGGACCTTATGCATAAAACCGCCCTGAGCCCAGTCTTGGCTGGGGAGGGCGGGGTATAAATAAATAAAATTATTATTATTATTATTATTATTATTATTATTATTATTATTCAGTGGTACCTCTCGTTACGTACTTAATTCGTTCCATAGTAAAGGTAAAGGTACCCCTGCCCGTACAGGCCAGTCTTGACAGACTCTAGGGTTGTGCGCCCATCTCACTCAAGAGGCCGGGGGCCAGCGCTGTCCGAAGACACTTCCGGGTCACGTGGCCAGCGTGACAAGCTGCATCTGGCGAGCCAGCGCAGCACACGGAACGCCGTTTACCTTCCCGCCAGTAAGCGGTCCCTATTTATCTACTTGCACCCGGGGGTGCTTTCGAACTGCTAGGTTGGCAGGCGCTGGGACCGAGCAACGGGAGCGCACCCCGCCGCGGGGATTCGAACCACCGACCTTTTGATCGGCAAGCCCTAGGCGCTGAGGCTTTTACCCACAGCGCCACCCGCGTCCCAATTCGTTCCATAGGTCTGTTCTTAACCTGAAACTGTTCTTAACCTGAAGCACCACTTTAGCTAATGGGGCTTCCTGCTGCCGCCGGAGCACGATTTCTGTTCTCATCCTGAAGCAAAGTTCTTAACCCGAGGTAATATTTCTGGGTTAGCGGAGTCTGTAACCTGAAGCGTATGTAACCTGAAGCGTCTGTAACCCGAGGTACCACTGTATATTATTTTTTCAAACGTACAGCCGGCTACGTCTTGTGTGTTTATTGAATATGTTTCACGTAACTAGAGGTTTGTTGTTGTTTTGTTTTGGGAAAGCAGCAATTAGGATCCGATCACGGGAGCAAGTGGGGTTCAGGAGCCCTCCATGCTGGCAGCCATCCTTGCTGCTATGTTAACCTGTGGAACTCCCTCCCCCAGGAGGCAGCAAAGGGCCACCAACTTGGATGGCTTTAGAAGAGGATGGGACAAATTCACAGAGGACGAGAGGGCTAGGGATGGCCACTAGCCAGGATCGCGACTCTTCGGAGGCAGCCATTCTTCTGAAACCCCGTGGCTGGAAACGGCTAGAGGGGAGAATATTGGTCCTGTGTTCGAATCCTGACTGCTGGTTTCCCATAATAGGATGCTGGCCTAGAAAGGCCATTGGCCAGACCCAGCAGGCTTTTCTTGTGCTCTTCTGTTCTCAAGATCAAAAATAGGCCTAGGATTAAATGAAGTTATAATGAAATAAATGGGATTTAGAATGTTAAGAAAAGTGAGTAAGATGGACTATAGTTGGAAATTGTTTTAGTTTAATAATGATATTGGAAAGCTGTTACTTTTCATTACAAGGAAACTCAGAAGGGAGGGATTTGAGGAAGTCAACCAGGATGTTTAAAAGGTTGGATTTGTGAAGAATTAAGTTTGTTGTTATTGTTTATCTGTTTATTCTTCCTCCCCCCTTTTCTTTCTTTCTTCTTTTTCTGTTTTTGTGTATCATTTTGCTTTGTGGTTTGTGTTATCACTGTGGGAAATCTAATAAAAAATTTAATTAATAAATAAAAATATCAGTACGGTTTTTGCTCAGAAAGCACTTTATTTCAAGGGCGCAAGGGGTCAGTTGTGTCAATTGAAGCTCCCATCTTCATCTACACCTGAGGGGCAGCTGCAGGATGCGGCCCCCACCCCCTTGCAAGACCCACGTAGGGAAAACAGCAGCATCTAGAGAGAACTAGGCAGAGCAGGCGTGAGACTCCTGGGCGGCCTACCCTGCAAGGCTGGCGCGGTCTCCGGGAACGAGAGCTGGGGCGTCACCCGAATCTGGTCTGCTTGAGTCACTAGCAGTAGAAATCCCATTTCTGAAAGAAAGGAAGGTTACTCGTCCTAGGAAGGGAACCCCAAAATGCAAATCTCCCAACCTGCCCCACTTGTTAGGGGGCTGCTCTCCCTGCCCCACGGCTCATGCTTTTCGTATCTCATGGCCCAGTGGACAAGGAGAGGAGGCAGGGAAAGGGTTCAGGGATGGAATAATAATAATAATAATAATAATAATAATAATAATAATAATAATAATAATAATAATTTATTATTTATACCCCACCCATCTGGCTGAGTTTCCCCAGCCACTCTGGGTGGCTCCAAATCAAGTGTTAAAAAGAATACAGCATTACATATTAAAAACTTCCCTAAACAGGGCTGCCTTCAGATGTCTTTTAAAAATAGGGTAGCTGCTTATTTCCTTCACATCTGAAGGGAGGGCGTTCCACAGGGCGGGTGCCACCACCGAGAAGGCCCTCTGCCTGGTTCCCTGTAACTTGGCTTCTTGCAGGGAGGGAACCGCCAGAAGGCCCTCGGCGCTGGACGTCTGTGTCCGGGCTGAACGATGGGGGTGGAGACGCTCCTTCAGGTATACTGGGCCGAGGCCGTTTAGGGCTTTCAAGGTCAGCACCAACACTTTGAATTGTGCTCGGAAACGTCCTGGGAGCCAATGCAGGTCTTTCAAGACCGGTGTTATGTGGTCTTGGCAGCCGCTCCGTCACCAGTCTAGCTGCCACATTCTGGATTAATTGCAGTTTCCGGGTCACCTACCAGGTGGAGCTGGATGACAGCTGCCCTGGACACAGAATTGACCTGCGCCTCCATGGACAGCTGTGAGTCCAGAATGACTCCCAGGCTGCGCACCTGGTCCTTCATGGAAAAGGGGGAGCTCTCCCCACCGTGCCCCCTCCCACCCCACCCCCCAAGTCACCCCAAACTTACGTCAGTCTTCACTTCCACCTTGCCTGGCTTCAGGTACTGGTTCTCCTGGACGACGGAGCTGGGGAAGTAGCCCAGGCGGGCTGGCTGCTCCCCATAATAGTCTCCTTGCACCTGTGCCAAAAAAAAGGGGGTGGAGCAGGACACACCTGGGTCCGTTTTCCCCATAGAAGGGGCTCCCTCTGCTGGCTATTGTGGGAAGTGCCACCTTCCTGCGATTTAATTTGCTTTTTCATCAAATTTATACAACACTTGATTAAACAACAACACCAAAAATCGGCTTACATAACAATCAGATTATTGTTAATTTTCCTTAGTGATAATTTAAGGCTTCTGAACTGATTAAAGAATAATAAGTTTAGTAAAGGTCCAGTCATGGCCGACTCTGGGGTTGTGGCGCTCATCTCGCCGGCGTACAGCTTCCGGGTCATGTGTCCAGCATGACTAAGCCGCTTCTGGCGAACCAGAGCAGCGCACGGAAACGCCGTTTACCTTCCTGCTGGAACGGTACCTATTTATCTACTTGCACTTTGACGTGCTTTCGAACTGCTAGGTTGGCAGGAGCAGGGACCGAGCAACGGGAGCTCACTCCGTCGCGGGGATTCGAACCACCGACCTTCTGATCGGCAAGTCCTAGGCTCAGTGGTTTAACCCACAGCGTCACCCGCATCCCAACAATAGGCTTAGTGGCAGATTTAAACTTGCAACTGCTTTCTAAACCACCTGGACAGGCCTGTCTAAACAAAATGATGTTATTGGCAGGCGACCCAAAAAGTTCAATAGGCAGGGAGTTCCAAAGGCCACTAAAAGTTTGGAACGGGTATTATGTGGTACGTGTAAGGCAGGTTCAAGCCATATGGTGCACACCATGCTTAAACCACCTTTACTTTACAATTTTACCGCTTTCTCTGAGATCATCCTCTAATTTTTATTGCCCCTGGTTTCAAAGGCAGGAACACAACCAACTTCTCCACAGCCCCATCACATGGAGAAGGACCAGGAAGGACACAGCCAGGGGCAGGTGCAGGATCTGAACCCAGGGCAACGGCTTTGGGGAACCAGGAGCTGAGATAACGCAGGACATGCTCACTGCTTCCCAGTTTTCAGGGACCCCAGGGGGCCATCTATCCCAACCCCCTGCCACGCCGCGATTTGACGGCCAACTGGTGCCCCCTGGCAGCTACTCACGCTGCCTCCCCAGAAGAGTCGCCCGCGGCCCTTCAGCTTGGAGAAGACGTAGACCACTTGGCCCCTCTGGATGTGGATGAAGCGGCAATCGGGCGCGATGTAGTCGTGGAGAGCAACTGCGATGGAGATGGGATCTGCAATGGGGGGGAGGAGCACAGGGGGCTGCCTGAGATCCTGACATCCCAAAGGAACATTGTGCCCGCGTGATGTGTCTGGGGAAGGGTTGTCCTCTCCTTCCCCTCACAAAGCCATGCCCACACCGGAGCATCTGTACCCTTCTCTTCAGGCATAGCTGTCAACCATCCCTTATTTGGCGGGAAACTCCCTTATCCCAGCGCCGTGTCCCGCTGCTGTCCCTTATTGCTGTCCCTTAAATTTCCCGGGTTTCATGCTCGCCCGGCTCAGGAGGGAAGAAGCGGCTCGGGGTCCTCCGCCGCGCGAGAGAGCGTGCACTGGCGCTGTCATCCTGGCGCGAGGAGTTCCATCAGCCCTTCCCCGCCTGATGGGGTGACGGAGGGAGAGAGACTCTCGCCCACGCTGCCCGCAAGCCCGGAGGTGGCAGCCGTGGTGGCAGCTGAGGAGACGGCCTGAGGGAGGAGGAAGAGGAGGGGATGGGGAGGGATGCTGAAGGGCGGTGCTTCAGCAGCCACCGCGCCGCCGCAACCGCCTCATGCCGGATTGACAGCATCTGTCAATCCTACCAATGTATGTAACTCTTTACAACAGCAAAATCCCTTATTTTGGCTGCTGATCCCTTATTTTCGAGGCTGCTGGTCCCTTATTTTCAAATCTGTAAGTTGACAGCTATGTCTTCAGGCAAAGAGGCTCCCAGGGCAGCAGTTTACCCACAATCACAACAAGACAGTCTCTGCCCCACGGGCTTACAATGTATATAAAAAAACACCACGGCACGCAAGGAAATAAGAACCGCGAGGGAAGAGGAAAACCAAAGCTCAGGAGCTATTTTTTAAAGTTGGAATGTAAAACCGAAGGACGGAATCCTTTGCAACTGGAGGAAGCGGGAAGTTGCAAGACTCTTCCCCCATGGCTTTGGAAAGCTCTCTGCCCCAAGGGAAGTGAAGCATCCTCACTCTTCGTAGGGAGTGAGAGTTTGAATCCACATTCAGCCAGGGTCAAGCTTCCTGGGTGACCTTGGTATGCTCTGTGTCTCGCAGCCGAACCTACGCTACAGGGTTGTTGTGAGGATAAGAAGAGGTGGAGAAATATTGTAAGCCACCATGGGCTCCTTGGAGGAAAAGGTGGGATAGAAATGGAGTGATTTATCCAGGCTTTTTGGCCAATCGAAGTTTTCAACACAGCTGGTTTTAAACCCACCCTCCAAAGTGCCATTTGGAGGATCATAAAACCATCCTCTGGCCTCTGCTTAAAAAGCCCCAACAAAGGAGAGTCGACCGTCTTGCGAGGTTGTCCGTTCTGCTCTTGAACAGCTTACTCTCAGAAAGTCCCCCCTGGTGCTTGGTAGGAAACATGCAGGACGCATTAGAGAAAAATAATTTCTGACATTTCTTAAGGACTGGATACCTCTTGTGGCCTTTTTGCATGAAAGAGACAATGAACTTGTAACAACTGCATTTGAAGATTGAAAAAATATTGGGTTTATAGAAGATAGAATGGCTGAATGTTAATGAAGACTATATTTTGCTGCAGAACAGAAAACCAGACACCTTTTTCTCTTTATTATTTTCCTCTTCTTTTGCTTTCTTTTCTTTTTTTCTTTCTGCCTCTGTTCTTTCCCAATTAAATATCTGTCTTATTTCAGTGCCTTATAAAAAGATACCTTCAAGTAACATTTTTTTTAATGGAAACATAGAGGACAGGGGGACAACAGCACTCCTTTCCTCACTGCTGCCCCCCAACGACTGCTATGCAAGAGGCAGCCTTTGTATTAGGGGAGAGGAGCAAAATTATTACTGTACCCCATGCACTTTTATAAAGCCCAACACACTATCTGCTCCCAGAGAAGGTATTCTGGACCCCAATGGTTTATCCTTTTTCCAGCTCTTCAATACCTGCTGGGTCAAGCCCTAGTGGCCAACCAGATGCTTGTGGAGAAACAGCAAGCAGGATTCGAACCCTCTCCCCTCCTGGGTTTTCCTGTTCCAAACATCTGGCTGCTGGGGACGAATTGTGGGGCACCCTTTTCCCCATCTCGCTGAACTTCCTAGAGGACCTCTTCCTCCCCACCCCCCAATCTTCCACAACGAAGAGGCGAGGGGACTCACGGTCGCATTCGGCGTCGGCACACAGCTTCTTGTCCGCAAGCTTGCCCATCTGCTGCCCGCCCCACGCGAGTCCCCAAAGGGCCCCGAGGAGTATAAGGGCGCCCCCGAGGGTGCCCCAGGCAGGACCCCCCATTTCTGCAGACTGGTCGGACACACAGCCTCAAAGGCTTCTCTGATGGAGAAACTGGTCAGCCTCCCAGACGGGGACAAGATGCTGCTGTTTGTAGCCTGCCAAGTTTGCCCAGGCGGCATCACTGGCCGAAGCCTGCCAGCCCCACCCTCTCCCCTGCTGACTGAGCTGCCCTGATGTCATGGAACTTCCACCAACGCTCCAGTTTCTCAGGAGTAAGGATCCAGCCCCCAGAGATGGAAGGGGATAGTGTTTCAGGAATACCTACATAACTCAGATCTGCACACTGCCTTCCCCTTCTCCCGGATTTCACAAGCCTGACACAGCAGGCCAAGAACTCTGAATCTAATTTTCTGCCAGCTGCACAACTTTGTAAGGCTTCAAATAAACACAGCAAGTGGGGGAGCAAATGGATCCGATCTGGGTCTGCTGCCTGGCTAAACAGGAAGCAGACGGCAGAACAGGCCAGCCCTGGAAGAAAAGGGCTCCCTGTCCACACACAGAGTACCTTGTGTGCTGCCCTCCTTTCTCGGGAGGGCAGGAAAAGGAGGAAAACAGGGCCTGGAAGGAAGCCAGGAAGCTGGGCTTCAGCCGCCCAGGACAGAGGAGAAGTACACAACAGCTTTTAACAAGACAAGGCAGGGGATCAGTTGGCTACGGAGTCTCTGTCCTGAAGGGTGCAACAAGAGTTGCCCCAGATTTATTTTATCCACTGAAATTACAGAAAGCATAGCTGCTCAGGTCGACCAAGCAAGGCCCCGTCTGTCCGTCACACACACCCAACTTCAGAAGGAAACTTGTTCACTATGAGTTTCTGCTGAACTTGTCCCAACTCCCCCAAACAAAATGCGTTCTCTCCCCGGGGCAAAAGGAGCACTTGATACAGAGCGAGGAAAGGCCATGCTTGCTGAGGAACCACAGGCCTGGCATAGAGAGGGAACCCTAAGATTAAGCCCCACTACCCCAGTGTGCGCCCACCTTCCCACGGATGCCCACAGCTGGCTATCGAAACTCACGCCAGCTTCTTGACCACCTCCAGTGCACAGTTCAAAAGCCCATCAGCCTCAGCTCCCTGGAGCTAAAGAGTGAGACCCCCGAGGCTTCTGTTTGGCACTCGCAAGGGAAGAGCAAAAGGAAGCTGGTGTGTTGGGTTAGGGCAGGGGTCTGCAACCTTAAAGACAAAAAGAGCCACTTGGACCTGTTTCCGAAGAGGGGAAAAAAACTGGGAGCCGCAAAACTTGTCATTATAAAAATAACTTTTTTGTCACTTCTTTGTTTGACCCCTCAGAATTACTCCTCCTCATAGAAATAAACGTTAAATTAACAAGTTACCTTTTTGTGTGTGTGTGTGTGTGTGTGTTCTTCACTCCCCTTCAAAACAGTGACCAGCGTACATGCCCCTTACAATGTAGCGGGTGGGCGGGTGGGAAGGTGACGTCGGGACGGTGCGTGACTAACGCACGCACCGCCCCCATGCGACGTCACAGCCAGTACAGCGCCCGCCACAGTGGGGAGTGTCGGGGCACACAATGTGCCTCCTCCCCTCGCTAGTATCCGCCCCGGAGCAGCGGCAAAGGTGTAAAAGAGCCACATGCGGCTCCGGAGCCACGGGTTGCAGACCCCTGGGTTAGGGTGTGGGACCCCGGCCTGCAAGATCAGGGCTCAAATGCCTCATTTGGCCAGGAAATTCACTGGACGACCTCAGGCCACTCTCGGACTGCCCTCCCTCGCAGGGCTGTTGTGGGGATTGAATGTGGAGGGAAGAGAATGATGTCTATGCCACCTTTGCTCCATGGAGAAAAAACTGGGTTGTGATTGCAATAAATAAGACAGTGGCCCCATCCTGACTGCTGGAGAAGAGTTCTTATGCCTACAAAGATACAGGTGAGGATGCGCCAGTAGGTTTTAGAACACCCACATAGCTATTTGCCCATGACGTGTTAAGAATCTCCTCTAAGTTTCCGCGACTAACTTTGGTCCATTTGGGAGGACAGGCCAGTAATAGTCAGTGCGCTCTTTGCAAGGCTGATTGTGTGTGGAAATACGGTGTGCGGCCCCCTCCAAAGAAGACGACCCGGGAGTCTCCAGTTAATAAGAGCCAAAGTCCAAGGTGAAAAATAAACTGGTGGTTGTTTTATTGCAAAACAGAAAAGCTCCAGGTGCAATGTCTGGCCGTCAGACCCTGGGTACAATGCTTTTGCAAGGAGTCGGCTACTATCCCCAGCGGCCTGTGTACGTACACACACACACACACACACACACACACACTTCCAAGTCCCCAAGAGTAGCCAGGGGGCAGCTTGTCTGGGTCTCTTGGCTCAGGAACAGCAAGATCTGGGTGCCCTTTTGTGCTGCTGGGCTCACTCTCACGCACACACACCACTTACCTCGCAGAACAGAACAGAACAACAGCCCCGCCCCCCCAAAACCATTTCACAGGCACTAACTAGAAAGGGCAGGGAGAGAGTTGCCCAGGGACAGTGGAGGCATCACTTCTTAGCAAACGAGATCTTCATGGCGTTGTTCTGCGTGATCTTGAATCCCTGGAGAGCGTCACGGGCGGCTCCAGCCTGAACCTCGTTGTCAAACTCCACAAAGGCGATGTCGTGGCGCCCGGGAACCAGACGCACTTCCTTGAAGCCTGGGAACCTGGAGGGGGGAGAAGCGAGAGGAGCTGAAGGCTTTGCCCCAACACGGGAACCAGAGGGTGGAAAGTGGAGAGAAAGGGGGGCAAGATGGCAATGGAAGACCAGGACGGACCCCGGTCCAAGGGCAAAGATGGAGGGGGAGGAAGGAAGGACGAGATGGAGAGGGGAACTGGAAGTGTTGCTCAGGGGCCTGGGGAAAGGATTTTTTTTTGGGGGGGGTGAGCAGGGAGGAATTCTGGCTCAGCAGCAGAGCTTTTGTGGGTCCCCCAGCGGCTGCTGCTTTAACCAACTAAAGCTGTCTTAACACAACTGGTGTGGTTAGCTGAAGAAGACCCACAACACAACTGTCACAACCACCGAGCAAGCCTTCCCCTGGCAGCCCCAGCTTTGCCTTCCCCAGAGAGCACAGCAGATCGGAAACTTCCATCTGCCCCTCCTAGAGGCGAGAAACACAACCAGGTACTTACTGATTGAAAAGCATGGAGAGCATCAATTCGTTCGTCTCTTCCGGCAAGTTGGTGAGGAACAAGATGTGATTTGGAGGATTCTCTGACAGCTGCAAACAGGCAGAAAGATCCAGGCATGCTGAAAACTCCAAGGCACCCTGAGCCCTCCGGGAAGGGGAGGCAGGTTGCCCCCCACCCAACGCAAGCGTGGCTAGGCCTTTCTTGCCGATGACCCACCCTGCTCCCACCTCACCCACAACTTCACAGGCCCGCCATCCTGCCTGATGGCAGATCAGTGCCAGACCCACCAAACCCGTGGCTTTTTCATTGTGGTTCTGCCCCGCCCAGCCTTGGGCAGTCCTCTCCCCATCCCCACTCACCGGCTGGGCTGGAGCCATCTGGCCAGGCAGCATCTGTTGCGGTGGCATCGCCCCCGGGGGGATGGAGCCAGGTGCCATGCCTGGGGGAGGCATCATTCCCGGAGGGGGCATGTAGGGCGGCTGGCCTGGAATGTGGTGCATCATACGAGGGGCCTGGTTCATGGGCGGCATGCCCTACAGAGCCAGAGAGAGAAAAGACACGCGTGTGACAAACTGCAAATACACTGGGGCCAAAAGAAAGGCTTCTCAGGGGCCCCCTCTCTGTTTGGCTCAACCCACTAAAAGGACAGAGGGAGCAGAAGAAGAAGAAGAAGATATTGGATTTGATATCCCGCCTTTCACTCCCCTTCAGGAGTCTCAAAGCGGCTAACAATCTCCTTTCCCTTCCTCCCCCACAACAAACACTCTGTGAGGTGAGTGGGGCTGAGAGACTTCAGAGAAGTGTGACTGGCCCAAGGTCACACAGCAGCTGCGTGTGGAGGAGCGGGGAATCGAACCCAGTTCACCAGATTACAAGACTACCGCTCTTAACCACTACACCACACTGGCTTTGAAGGGATTCAAAGCGTTGGTGCTGGCCTTTCAAGCCCTGAACGGCCTCGGTCCAGTACAGTGGTACCTCGGGTTAAGTACTTAATTCATTCTAGAGCTCCATTCTTAACCTGAAACTGTTCTTAACCTGAAGCACCGCTTTAGCTAATGGGGCCTCCCGCCGGAGCACGATTTCTGTTCTCATCCTGAAGCAAAGTTCTTAACCCGAGGTAATATTTCTGGGTTAGCGGAGTCTGTAACCTGAAGCGTATGTAACCTGAGGTACCACTGTATACCTGAAGGAGCGTCTCCACCCCCATGATTCTGCCCGGACGCTGAGGTCCCCATGATTCTGCCCGGACGCTGAGGCCTTCTGCCGGTTCCCTTGCTGCGAGAAGCCAAGTTACAGGGAACCAGGCAGAGAGCCTTCTCAGTGGTGGCACCCACCCTGTGGAACGCTCTCCCACCAGATGTCAAAGAGAAAAAACAACTACCAGACTTTTAGAAGACATCAGAAGGCAGCCCTGTTTAGGGAAGCTTTTAATGTTTAATAGGTTATTGTATTTTAATATACTGTTGGAAGCTGCCCAGAGTGGCTGGGGAAAGACAGCCAGATGGGCGGGGTATAAATAATTTTTATTATTATTATTATTATTATTATTATTATTATTATTATTATTATCATCATCATCCCATCACCACAGCAGGAAGGAGGGCTAACCCAGAGGCCCAAGGTCCAACTCAGAAAGCTGCAACCAGAATCTCTTTACATTTGCAAATTGTGCTTTCTCTGAAGGATCAATGTCCCAGACTCTGCTATCAGCCTCATCACCCTATGGCAGAATAGCCCAACTGGGAAAAGGGTCTCCAAGGAGTAGACTGAAACGGGAACAATCTAGAGAGATCACGCAAGACAGCTATTACAGCCCTGTCCCAGGAGAGGGGAAGGAGGGAGAGCGCCTTGTGGGCACCCGGGTCCGTATACTCACCGGCACAGCGCCTTGGACGGCAGGGGCCACCGGTGCCGCTCCCCCAGGGATCTGCTTCTTGGCAGCTGGCACCTCCTGGCCTTTGGGCTTCCGTTTCTCTCGCTTGCGGTCCCGCTCCACAAACGTGCCCTTCATCTTGGCAATGATGTCAGAGTCGGATTTGGCATACTGGATCCTCTGGGGGTGGAAAGAGGAGCGCTTGGTTGGCCAGGGAGGAAAACGCACGATGCAGACACCATAACCAGGCCCGCCAGAACCCAAAACACAGGAGGACCTCCAAACGCGAAGGAGGCTGCAAGAAAACTTTTAAAGCCTCAACCTAGGTGGGCCTTTCCCTCTTTGCCAAGGAGCGAAGAAGGCAGCCTCACCCCACAGAAGCAGCGCCCACTTACCATGGGCTTGTCGTAAAAGGGGAAGCCCTGCATGGAACGCAAGGCGTTGGTTGCGCTGCTGATCTCCTTGAAGATGACAAAGGCCTGTCCCCGCATTTTCAGGCTGCGGGAGACTAGGATGTCGAGGATCTGGCCAAACTGGGAGAAAATGGCATAGAGGGATTTCTTCAGCTCTAAAGAGGAGGGAAGCAGATTACACACAGTTACACTTTGACCCCAGGAAACCTGTCTAAGCATCCTGGAGAATATAAAGGTCTTTCCTTGGTGCTGGAAGGAGGGCAGTGTTGGTGCCAGACAAGCCTCCCTGGGGAGAGTCTTCTGCTGACAGGTGCACAGAAATTGCCCTCCCTGTGCAGCAACTTTGGCTGCTGACTGCCTAAGTTCAAAGTGCTGATCTTGGTTTATATAACCCTGCACAGCACGGGACCAGCAGTGGGCATTGAGCAAAGAAGTTCCGTTATTTTGTTTTACAGTGGAACCTCGGGTTACGGCGGGGATCTGTTCTGGAGGCCCTGCTGCAACCCGAAAACGACACAACAAAAAGCGTCAAGTCTGCGCACCCATGATTTAGCACTTCTGCCTGTGTGCAAATGGTGCGAACCTGGAAGCAACTTGTTCCGGTATTTCCAGGTTTGCGCAGGTTGCAAGCTGAGGGTGATATAAGCTGGAGGCAACGTAACCCGAGGCTCCACTGTACATTTTCTCCCTGAGGTTCCGCTCCACAAAAGTGCCCTTCATCTTGGCGATGGTGTCAGAGTCGGATTTGGCATACTGGATCCTCTGGGGGTGGAAAGAGGATCCAGTATGCCAGGGAGGAAAACGCACAATGCA